TCACCATGGCCAAAGGCCCAACCGGTTTATCAAGTCCACGTAAAAAGCTTGTTGATGTGCATGAGGGTGATTGTCTAAGCCCAACACTATTCTACCTAGTAATTAATATGTACAGCAAATGGGCAAACCATCAGAATATAGGTTACACAATGAATGCTCCAGACAACACCTCTTTGAAATCAATAAAGATAGCAACCAATGCATACACGGACGACATGGCTATGTTTGGTGAATCGTTTGTCCAGGTTCAGAGCCTGTTGACACTTTTTGAACGATTTCCATCATACTACGGCATGTCATTAAATAGCTCCAAGTGCGCATACCAATATCGAGAACCTGACAGTAATTTTCTGCATTGTCAACCACACACTAAGTGGGGAAGCATTCCAATATATGGTCCTAAGCAAAGCTATAAATATCTTGGTTATTTCGTAAACATCAGTCTCGATTTTGCCACTCAACATAAAGAGATGACCAAGAGATTGAACAAAGCTTGCTCCAATCTTTTTAGTGAGCATGGTTTGAAAATTCAAGAAGCTGTCACTTATGTGAATTCGGATCTTGCATCTGTGCTACGCTATCGCATGTACCTTATTGCATTCCCTGATTCGTACTTGAAAACATTTGATCACCGGCTTGCATCCGCAGTTAAGCGCCTCGCACATCTTTCCAAGTCGACACCTACGGATATGCTTATAGAACAAGGTATGTACAATGTCCTTCAAATGCAAGGAATAATTCGAACCGAATTTCTAATGGGTGCCCTTGAATCGAATGATTCTCAGTGCCGTCTGAGTTCACAGATCATGCATTCTCGTTTGACATTTGCAACAAATGAGTTTGACGGTGTTTCGCCGTTCACTAGAATTGGTCTTGCCATGCACTCAGATCCGGACGAGGAAATACCCAGAGTTGAAAAGTCTCTTCCTCCCCTGTTTCGCGGGATCCGAGCACACTTGATTAAATCAAGTACTTCAATCTCCACTTCTTTCAACCATGTTGTACAATATGACAGTCGTAGAATCCAAGACACGTTGATACCGCTTGCGTACAACGCTCTGATAAATCATGGAAAAACTTCCTTTAAAAATTGCAGTCTTGATCGTATGAAAGTGCTCTTTGAAAGCCTTGACTCCTCAATGTACATGTCACTTGACGAAATATCCCCACTTTTCGTGACAAGATTCGACGGCTTGGAAACCTGGGAATCTATGAAAGGTTTAAGCTACAAAGATCCGGATAACATGTTGGAAACATCTGGTTACGAGGCAGTATTTGAACCCATTCCTTTTCTAACCAAGCCACGCGACAAATCACCTCTTTCAAAATTGTACACTACCCTTCTTGCGGATCTTATTGCCCACTTTGTATTCATGTTGCTTCAACCACATCAACGTGATCCCGATTATCAAATCGAAACCAAACGAGCATGGGGCATTTTTGAAAAACATTCCGTGCCAGCTTCGGTGGCCTTTGTGGACGGAAGCTGCTCAGACAAAACAAGATCTCCCGTTGTGGCCGGATTTGCGCTGGTCTTTCCAATCTCAGGACTATCATCAAAGACAAACCATAGTAATGATGATGACGCTTACTTGAGTCTACAAGGGCAGAATCCCGGGTGATCAAACCATTGAACGCGCGGAAGCTTATGCCGTCTTAGGGGCCTTGTTGATTGCAGACACATTTCACAAGCTACCTACGGTGGGTTCCGGCCGAGTCGACTCCGACTCGAACCGCAACGAAATTGTGGGACCCGGTATCAAATTCTGTCAGTGATACCGGCGGTTCACGTTACGCTGAGTCGGACTTCCGAAACATGTACGGTTCGAGTACTCAGGAATTTTTGCTCGGCCGTAAGTGAGTGTCATGAAGTTGTAAACAAGTGTATTATTTTACACTTTGACGGGAGCATGAAAATGCCACACTAAGATGCGGCTTATGCAACATGCAGAAACCTTTGACAAGCTAAAAAAAATGTTGGGGGACCGTCATTAGCTGTCCTTTGAAGCTCCAACATCATGTTTTGTTCAGGACAAATCTCAAATAGCAGCATAGGAGGCGCAAAGTTGGCCGCCATTGTTGGATTTTGAAGAGCGCCTTCTCTTACACTCCTATATCAAATCTCTGCACTCTTCTTTCAGTCTGGGTACCGCGGTACTCGTGCACGGTACAAGTCGGAAGTTCCGACCAAGACCATGAAATTTAAATTTGTCGGCCGCGCAGACTCGAGTCTCGCGCGACGGTACCGTACCTCCGGGTAGTACGTAATTGCCCGTTTGATCGACGTGTCAGGAAAAGCTCGATTCATGAATTCGGACCCGATTCTCTAGTACGGCCGAGTACGATCGTTAGTACTGCGTACAAAATGTGTCGCGACGCGTGACACCGGTCATACAAATTTGAGACCCGACCGTCGCGCGGTCGATACCGTCGAGACCCACCATAGGTAGCTTGTGTTGGCCCATTGACAATCTACACAGACTGTCTAAAGTTAGTAAACGACATTCATCGTTTTCAAAAGCAACAACCTAGATCTCATGAAGTCACAAAAATGTCAAACCGCTCAATCTTGTTACGGATTCTTCATGAGATTCAACTTCGAAATAACCTACTGAGATATTATATCTGCAAAACCATAAAAAGGTGGGCAGTCTGCGAGTTAATCTGGCAAAATCATATAAGGCTGAAAAGTTTATCAACCGAGCAGACCAGGAAGCAAAGTTGAGCCTTTCTATTAGTAGAGCTTCAATACCCGAGGAAACTATGTTTCATCATAAGTCCAAACTACTCAAATACAATGTTTCCACAACTCAAACACCTTCGGCAGCTTCTGAAGAAAACAACATATGGAAAATGTACAATAAATTGTTTCGTGAATCATATCAACATTACAACTTCGGAGGGAAGTGGCATTTGTATATGCTATCGCAAAATATCTGGCGGGAAGCATCATTTTCGATCCTCCATCAGAAACGGGGTAAAGAATCTTTAAAAAGATTCATAATTCAATGCCTTGGTAGGACGCTCCCTACAAACCATCGACTGAATTTAACTCATCCTAAGTTATATCCTATTTGTGAATGTCAATTTTGTCAAGCAGACGACGATAATATTGAGCACGTGTTGTTTCAATGTCCACATTTATTATTGCTCCGACACACAATCAAAGAAAAGACGGTCGCAAAAGTACACTGTATACACTGTGTACACTGATTGATACTGAACGAATTAAGCGAGTCGGCATATCTGCAAAATCGCGTTTGTCCAACCAAACAGATGGTGGAAGAAAATGTAACAAACATGATATTCCCCGCTTTTAATAATCTAGAAGCATACAGATTACTGAGCGCGTCTCAACTTCCAGTACAATTCCGCTCTTGGCTTGAAAGCTTCCTACATGACAGAGGTTGCATTCTCAAAATAGGTTGTAAAATTCATGAACATTTAGCGTCTTCATATCAAAAGTTGTGGCAGTTTAAATGTTCCAAAATGACAATCGGAGGCGTTGATTTTCGTGCTCGGTTTTCCTCTTTTGCGCGACCAGTGCCTCTTCACGAACTCAACGATGATGATTTTGCTGCAAACAAAAAACTTGAATTTCTCGCATCCAAAAATGCCACCAAACCAGGAGCCATTAAAAAGAGAAAGAAAAAGTTGATTCAAGCTCAAAAAGAATTCCATTTATTCTCGGATTTGTCATCTATGAAAACTGCCAATCAAAACAAATCTAATCCTTTGAAACGAAAAAGGCTAACGTCAGTATCGAAACAAAATCATAAAAAGACACAGACTGTATCACGTACAAATCGAGTGCCATCAAAACCGGATCAATTATCACCGCTAATCATCCAACAGTCACACCAGTCGACTTTTGTGCCACAAAACAACATATTCACGGAAAGTTTCACAAGACTTAGCATTGAGTTGGATGGCAATTGTCTCTTCCGGTCAATCTTTGTTGCACAAGGCATGCCCGGGATTCGACATATTAATCTGCGCCGAATATGCGTCTATCGGATAGCTGCGAATTGGGAAACTCATATTCATTATATGCAAACTTCTGCCATAAACCTGATCGCCCAGATGCTCCAGACGTGCAAAATGTTGATCCCGTTCCAATATTCCCGAACGCTGAAGCTTACATTAATTATATGAGCCAAGATGGTATATGGGGCACTCAGCTTGAGATTAATGTCATAGCGGAACTGCTTCAACTTCCGATTTTCGTATGGAAGCTGGAAACAAGAAGACCGATGGACATATAAATTACAATACGCAAACGAATCAATCAGCAAATATGATACATATCGTTCATTGTAATGGCAATCATTACGAAGCTCTTATTTATCCAGGTCATCGCGATATCAATGTGTCTTTAACGCACGAGCTTGCTGCACAACAATCGACCGAACGTAGTCTTATCCAAATTCCAAGTCAAGAACAAGCAACTTTAATCGAAAATACTATATCTAAGATTTGCAAGAAACGTCTTCCATCAACAAGCAACCTTGAAGCATGTAAAAGGAAAAAACGACGTGTTTTTATTGGTATCCCAAATGATTAAATTAGAGCTTTCCCAATCGAAATGCAAGCAACCACTTCTATGAGTACGAGCAGAAGAACATCATGCATTGTGCTCTCGGACAGAGACAAAGGCATCCTCAAACGCCTCGCTCCAGATGGATGCAACACTTTGACACGGCGGCCGCAGAAACGTCGTCGTAAATTGACATGAGGCCCAGAAAGGGCAGAGCCTTGGCAATATCGTTTACTTTTCTTTATTTTGCGCATCTATATTCTGACACTAGAGTATGACGTTTCGGCTGCAGAAAGAGTGAAAGGTTATAGCGCTTGAATATGAGTGTCAAAAAAAAAAAAAAAAGGTCGTGGCTCTGCCGTCGCGCGGCCGCCCGAGCTGCGCGGACGGGCCTGCGGGGGGAGGGGGCGGCCGCCCCCGCGAGGGAATCAGCAGGGCTTGCCAAGTTGCACGATCGGATGATCATCCACCTTTGCTTCCCCTTGTTCTAGTTGCTGAAGCACAGCCCTGCTGCCAGCAGCAGCAAAGAAAGCTCTTCAGACTTCATTTAAATTTTAGCTCTTTAAATTTGAACATTGCCAGCAGATTGGGAGGATCTTGTGCCTGATGAAGTTGAAAGATTTCCTCCAAGCCGTGATGGTGGTGGTGCAGTAATGGCGATCAGGGACATGAGGGCACGCTTGCAGCTTTGCAATCCCGAGATGTAGATGTTGCGCTACTTGTCTGGCGCAAGATGGGGCTGAAAAGATTGGCGGACAGGTTGAAGGTAGATCCAAAGAAGTTGAAAAAGCAGGAGATGCCATGCTTTACCGAGTTGATGCGGTTTTTTGGCGCCTTGAAAAAAGTTGGATATGATGCAGACAAATGCCAGGCCGAGAAAGTTGCCTTGCAGGAGGCAATCAATGAAATGGTGAGTTTTTTGCAGAGAAGTGAAGAGTGTTCTGGTTCTAGGTTTCGGGCGTTCGTCAAGCAGTTGCAATGCTCATTACGTTTTCAAAAATCCCAGCACACCCATAGGTTCTTTTGTAATAGTTGGAACGTTTGTGGTTACTGTTTCTGCTGAAAGTGGCAGTGCCCGTCTTTCGTGTGGCGTTTCTTTTCCTGACATCTGATTTGAATTTGTACAAGGAAAAGACAAAGCAAATGATTCATACTTCTGGTGCAAGAGCTGTGTTGTGGTTCAGAATCCTGACAGCATCAGTAGAGGCTGACGCCCTGGAAACTAGAAAATGCGCCCCAGCCCACTTTTGCCTCAACACGTCCCCCGTGGCAGGCCAGAGTCTCTGTCTTGTGGCAGACAGGGAGCGCAGAACATGCTCCCTTCTTCTTTTCTTGCATAATGGAAACATATAATCGATGAGGTTCTTATTGTGGCAGGATACAAGGAAAGGTCACAAGGATACAATCAACTACCACCTTCAGCGGATAGCAAAAGACATGGGCATCAGGCGGTGAGCCCGCTTTGGCATCCAAATTGTGGTTTAAGCGTCCATGGAGAGGTTGCGACTGTCGGCACAATGGAGAAGTAAACTTTGAGAGTCTGATTCAAGTCGGGAAAGGTCATCAGGGGTGGCCGATCCAGAACGAGCTACGAAGCTGACCTTGGAGTAATAAGAAAGATACATGTTACGGATGAAATTCGTTTGACAGTGTCGATCAGACCAAGAAATGGTTTGAGTATCCATTCAGTCGATGAACTTGGAATAATCGATTGTTGCTGCATGGGGATCGTGAGTGCCTTGTTTCGCTCGGCAGGCACATATGTTGATGATGGCATATTGCGCCCGAAACATCGGCTATAAGCCAGGGTGCAGCCACATGTTGGACTAGTTGATTATGAAGCTACGAAAGCTGCAGTTTCAATCAGAGATTTCACTGATTTTGAGCTTATACTCATATAGCTCATTTGAAGGTTTAATTGGCAGAGACGCCACTAGCTTAAACATGGACCGTCCAATTTTTCCATGACGCTGCCTCCATCATGAATGGAATACGGAGCTACGTCGATCGATCGATCGAGCGCCTGAGTTGACTACATGTATCATTGTGCAATTGCAGTCGACTGCTGGCATGCATGTGCATTAGTATGGCCTCGTGGTCGAAGCTTATAAATTGAATTGTCGTCTGATGAATCAGTCGCGCGCGAGGATAAACACATGTACAATTATAGTACCTATACACAGCTCACATGTGTCCAATCAAGTCCGGGTATTTAAGTATGTGGATTCGAAAATCGTCGAGTCCTCTGTGCACATGTGGCACCTGGACAAGCTAGCTCTTGCTGCATGTACCGAGCGTCCCATGCAGCGTACCCCCAACCATGCTTAATCTCTATACAACCATTCATATACGTGCAGCTAGTCCGGCTTGGCTCAGCTCCCGATGAAATGTAGACATGCACAGCCATGCAGTGCGTTGCCGGCTATTCATTTCTGGATTCTTTGTGCCCATCCAAGCACATCCAGTCGGGATGCCCACCCTCGTTGAAAGCTACGATGACAATCTCAGGTAAATGAAAGTTGAACATATTGTTGAATGATTGCCATATCCTTTGTAACATCTGTACAGCTTTCATTCAGATTCTTGCGAATCTGAACTCAGAGCAACATCATCTTCGGCATCCCCTTCAAGGTTGCTGTCAATATTCGAACGGCGAACATACAAGGCCCAGCCCCCTCTAGGAACTGCGCTTATATCCGAAGTGCTCGCGGCTAGAGTGCAACCCGAACCTCGGGGCAAAAGCCCACGAACCTGACATCGCCATAAGCCAATGCCCAACGTGGCTCATCTATTAGCACCGAGCGGCCCCTTCGCCCCCATACCTACTTTACATACCTCATCAGCGTATCGATGCCACCGATGTGCGACTGACGTCATTACCTGAAGCGACGCCCCGTCACCGGCCGCGCTTGTTGGCCTTGGTCTGCCGCTTGTGCGCGCGGCGTTCCTCGCGCGTGTACGCCGAGCTCGAGAGCGCCTTGCCCGCGCGCCCGAGCGCCTCGAGCGCGCTTTTGTTGCGGGTTTGCAGCCACGTGGCGTCCAGCTGGTTGTGGTGCTCCACGGAGGGGCACAGCGACCGGAGCACGGCCTTCACAGCGTCCTCCGTGTCGCTGCGCAAAGGGAAACCAAGGGATAAGGCACTGCCGAGGCTAAAGCAGGGATAGTAATTTATAGAAGACAAACCAATGAGGGAAGGAGGGAAGAAAACGAAAGAATAAGGTAAGGGGACAACAGTCGAGGAACAACAACGATTTTCGGCGAGCTGAGACACGACCCGAGATTAAAGAGTACTTCAGCTGCGAGCGTCGAAAGAAGAAGGAAGGCACTGAAACGGTTAGAATACCCCGCCTAACATCAGCAAGCTGTTACGTCAAAAGAGAGAATGCGCCGTCCCTTGAAATGCCTCTCTGTATAGGAGAAGCAACGGCTCCTTTCTGTTTGGGGCTTGGTATGCTCGAACTACACGTAGGTGTCGTCCAGGAAAAGGTTCGTTATCAGTAAGTTGCAGTGATTGCAAACGCGTGTTCCGCCTATATCTAAAACCTCACACTGTGAAGATTATGAATGTAATCGCAGCAACTGAGCCCATCCCGAAAGTGGAACGAGGAGGGGACCATCACATGACCTCGACAACAGTTCATACGTGTCGCCTGCGGGGTGAGCGGACCCAAAAGCTGCAGGTCCCAGTCGACCAGATCCCACCAACACAACCTGCATCCCCTCTCAGCACCGCACCGAAGCACTCGCAGCCCGCAACAACGCAAATCTGAAGGAATTGGTTCGGGGCTTGGCCCCACTGTCGCTGCAGTCGCAACCAGTCCAAATCCGGAAACACCCGAAAGCGCGTGACTTATCTGGAAGGATTAAATAGACGGTAAGGACGCAAAGTCTGTGGATGTTTATCTACTTTAAGGAGGACCCTTACTCGAGCACTTGCTACTCAGTCTGAGTAAAGATACTCGACCTGCCCGTGAACAGCTGGGTAGACTGCAAACAGGACTGAAAAGATCACGGTTTGAGAATCTGCCGAGATTCAGATGCGGTTCGTACTCGAGGACTTGCAGGCGGTCGAAGTACTCCTCGACGTCCTCCACGTCTACCTCCGTCGCCTTCACCGCGCGCTTCCGCTCGCGCAGCTTCTCCAGCGCGCGCTTCAGCTTGCACACGCTCTCCGCCACGCAGCCCAGGTACAGCATGCCGTACCTGCCCGGGGGAACGAGCCGGTTAGGTTAGAGGGATCTGGTTAGCAGCTGAATCCCAGAAGAGGTAAAGACTAGTCGCATTAGGGGGGCACTTATTCTGCACACGCTCTCCACCAGGCGGTCCACTTACAGCATGCCGTACCTGCCCGGGAGGACGACGCGGGTTAGCATAGCTTAGATCAAAACAAATCTGGTTGGACGGGTACGCTTTGCGGATTGAAGTAAGCGTTGCACCAACGTGTGGGGTGCTCGCAAGGCCTCCTACTACCCTTGGTGGAGTGATCTGTCACCGTTCGCAATTTACCATCAGGATGATTCGTCCTTCAACAGAGAGGATTACTGCATCAGCACTTCCTCCAAATTGTCATCAGCCGGAAAGCCGGACGGTCAGTCTGTAGCTCTGAGCTTTTGCCCCTTTGGGTGCTCAAACTCTGCTGTCTACCCATGAATCTTTCCCGAGCGATACCTCAAAAGGGCTATGTCAACAGTGACACTTGCGGACTTTTGGCAAATATACTTTTAAGACCAGTCTTGCAGCGGGCATAAAATGGTCAGCCAACAGATTCAAGCTTCAGAAGGCGAAATCGCGACAGTCACAAGGCTGCCAATTCCACATCGCTTTCCACTCACTTCTTCGCCTGCCGCGCCTTCTCCCCCTCTCTTCCCTCCTTCCACTTCGCCACGAATTCTTTTGCCTCCTCAAAAGTCGCATCGAACATGGGATCGCGCGCGTGGGACGCGCCCTCCGCCTCCTCGGCCGCGCGCTTCCGCGCGCGCGTCTTCCACCAGGCCTGGATCTGCACGGCCGCGGCCGCCTCGCGCGCCAGCGCCGCCTCCGCCTCCTCGCGCGCGGCCTGCATCGCCTCCGCTTCGTCCGCGCCGTCGTCGGCAGGAGCCGCGTCCTAGAAGGAAAAGAAAGTTTCAGGAACATAGATCCTCGTTGAGGGATTGGATGTGGACGAGCTTTGACCAAGAACAACGTCTTACGGGGCAGCGTCAAAATAATGTTGCGAAAGACGGCTTCGAAAGACCTGCGGAAGAACTGCTGGCGGATTCAATTTGTATCAAGCTACTGAAGTGCAAAATCACTTGACCTTCACCAAACATATCAAGGAAAGATAAGAGTATGTTGGTTGGGGGCATGCGTAAAAGGAGATATTGGTCACCACAAATTCGAACACCGGCGACCAAGCCCCTGGCATGCATATTGTTTTTCGAAATTTCGCACCGCCTGGGTTCGCGGTGCTGTGCAACGGCCCGACTCTAGATCCCCGCTCACCTCCTCCGGCTTGGCCGCCTTCTCCCGCGCCAGCAGCACCGACGTCGGCACGAACGCGGGCGCGAGCGGATTCAGCGTCCGCTCGCGCATCTCGATCGTGCCGTCGTTCTGGAATGCCACCTCGCGCTTCACGTGGCCCGCGTACCACGGCGAGTCGCCCAGCACGTCAGGCCTCGTCACGAGCACCAGCGGGTACAGGCTGCGGGCGCGCAGGTCGCACATGCTCGAAAACAGGGCCTTCCACTGCCGGGCCTCTAGAAACTCGCGCAGCGCGGGCTCGGGAAGCTTGAGCCCCGGAACGTCTAGGCGTTCCACCATGGTCAGGATGTCGGACGTCTGCCCCTTCCCGATCCCGATCTGCACCGCGACCCACACCATCAGCTCGCGCAGCCGGAGGAGCGCCAGCGCGGAGGGATCCCCCTTGAGCTTCGTGAACCGCTCCATCCTGATCAGCTTCACCAGCCCGTGCGCGCACTCGGCCACGCCGCGCAAGATCTTCTCCGCCTTCCCGAGCGCGCCGCGCCCCGCGGTGCGGCGCATTGCGGCGCGACTCAGCGCGGGGAACCGGTTGAGGAAACCGTGGACTACGCTGGTGGGTACCACGGTGTTGTGGAAGTTGCGCAGCCGCCCGACCACGACACCCGCCAGGCCCTCCAGCAGCCACGTCAGCTCGTGCGGGGTCTCGAACGCCGACTTGGTGCCTTTGCGGATGATAACTAGATCGAGGTACAGCATCATGTTGTGCGCGAACCCGTCGAAGTGCCCCGCGTGCGCGCTCGCGAGCGCCATGTACAGGATCAGGTGCACCGCGATCGGCCCGCCCGTCGCGGGGTCGATGTCCAGGAATGGCGGCAGCTCCGGGCCTTGGAAACCGCGCCCGTAGTCGCTGAACCGGCGCGCGAGCAGGGGAAGCGCGTCGACGCGCGCGGCGTGCAGCGCGCCGACCGCCTTCAGCACCAGCCCCGCGTTGTGCGGCGCGCGGTCGTACTCGTGGCCCAACCACACGGACCCCGCCAGGTCCTTGAAGCTCTCGCGGATCGCGCCGAGGACGTCCGCGGGGGATCCCTCGACGAACTCGGTCGCGGCCGCGGGGCTCGAGAGGAGCGGCGAGGAGTGCGTGAGCTGCTCCGCGAGGCGCTCGAACCAGTGGCGGCGCGCGGCACGGATGCGGGCCAGGGAGTCGGCGGAGAGGAGGTGCTGGGCGCGGTGCGCGAGCGAGTGGAGCTGGACGGACAGGTGGCACTGCCGGGCGAGCAGCCGCAAGTAGCTGCGGGGAGAGAGGGAGCGGATGATGCAGAAGGAGAGATGGCTTCTTTACCCTTTGAGCAATGCTTTTTGATAGATAAAGTCCCCCCTCGTGCGCTGCTTGTAAAGATGTTGCTTCCAGGAAAACGTGGTTGAAGGGGCAAAGAGGGTCCGCGACAAAAACCTTGCGACGATCAACAACGCAAACATTTGCTGCCGTTGGAGGGTGCGGGGGCGCTGGGCATTTGAGAAAAAGATTCGCGTGACGTATGCGCTCGACCGCCAAGGAATCGTGGCGGGCTGTTCGTGTGCTGACAAAACATCTGCTTGGCGCCCCATCTGAAACGATGCTGAAGCTGTATGCTTGCCCAGAACCATTGCACCAAAGCAGTGACAAGCAGCTCGCGTCACTAACTCTGCAGCAAGCGCCTTTTAGGGGTTTACACAAGCCTGAATTGAATCTTATCGGCAACTGCGAATAACAGCTGCCGCTCGACAACGACACGTCTGCGTGCTGCTCCAGCCGTGCCTTGCTTACTAGCCGTATCCTGGCAACCACTCCAGAACCGAACGGTCAGCACAAGTAGTACACTTACTTGAGCTGGCCGGCCTTGGTGATCCGCCCGACGTGCCGGAACGGGCAGCGGTCCCGCTGGCAAAACCCGTACAACGCAAAGCTGTTGCACGGCTCCTGGAGCGCCTCCTCCCCCTTCCCCCCCTCCACAACTTGCCGCAGCGGGGGGATCACGGACCCCACCAAAGCAGCCTCCATGGCGCGTAGAATCCACGCGTTTTCCACCCGGAACCACGGAACGGTCGCGCCAGGGGGGGCCTCGTCCGGTAGCGCGAGCGAGGAGGACTCGACCTTGGTGCCGAACGTGTGCGCCTGCTGCTGACGTAAGAAGCGGAGGACGGCGGCGTTGCAGGGGTCCAGGCGGAGCAGGCGGTGCGCGGGGTCCTCGTGGGGGGCCACGCCGAAGAAGGACTCGCACTCGGCGCGCAGGCGGGCCTGCAGAAGAGGAGGTTACGGGGGGCTTGAGGGGGCGGTGAGCCGAAGGAAACGAAAACTTCAGTTACAAGATGGTTCGCGCTAAAGGGCTGCAAATCTCTCACGCGAGAGGTGCTTCATAAGGGAGTTCTTCACGTAGAGAACGGGTGAATGACGGCAAGCTGAAAAAAACACTTTCTAGCCTCAAGGCAACCTGCACGCTATGAAGCTTCCTGAGTGATAAGTTTTGCACAGTGAAGCGAGCTCGGGAAAACGCCAGCCAGAGCACGCAGAAGCTGCTCTGCAGGAGCAGCCGTGAGCGGAAGCCTCCTGCCGACACTCTGGCGCAATGTGAAGCCGCACTGCCATCAGGCATGACGCTTCCAAAGCGCCTCGCGTCACAGGCAATGCAGAAACATCGCCCTCGAAGCTTGGTCAGCTTTAGCACTGCCCACCTGCAGTGCCGTCACCGCGGCCCCGGGCCGCCCGCCCCGCAACCCCCCGATGAGCTGCCGCTGCAGCTGCAAGACCCGGTCCAGCAGGTCCAGCCGCTTCTCCCACGCCAGGCCCGCATTCTTCGCCTCCTCCCCCCCGGCCGCGAACACGGACACCGCCGCGAGCAGCGCGCGCAGCTCCCCCGCCAGTCCGTACCCGGGGCCGCGACTCTTGCCCCATGACGCAAACAGGCCCCCGATTGCCTGCCAACAGGAAAGCAGCCGATTACTGTGGGTCAGGTGGACGGCCAGATGAGAAGAGCCCTTGACAAGAAAAAGGATTTTACACAAGCACGGAATGTGCGGGGAAGAGCTATGAATTGACTCTGAACAGAGGCGCCGGAGTTTTTTTGGTACTTCGAAGTAAAGAGCTTAGCTTTTCTCAGCTTCACTGAGATGCACGAAAGCTGGGCTGTTTCAGATGGACGATGCGTTCAATCTTCTTAGGTGTAACTCAATTTGCCAATCGTGCTGCGTGCTAAGCGCATATGGTTGCAATATCCGTGATTGGAAGGAGCGTCGGCATCAAGTGGACCTTCAGGAGCGGGCTCGCTCCAAGCTCAGAACCACTAAGGTCAAATTGCTGCTCGTGCTGCATCTTTTCTAAGCGCCACTTTTAGCTCAGCACTGTGTGACATCGATGCGCAGGTGCTGGTTTGCTAGGGTTTCCCACCTGGAGCGCATTCACATCGGCCGCCCGCCGCCGGCCCCGACACCACTGCGCCAGGTGCAGCCACAGCACGGCCGAGAGCTGCGTCTCAAGCGCCTCGGGCCAAGGGGGCAGTTTCGCCTGCTGCTGCTGCCCCCCGCTAGGTGACGGGAGCGATTTCAACAGCCCCGCGCCAGCCAGCGCGCCGTCTTGCTCAAACACGCACCCGAAGAGGAGCGCGATCTTGTAAAACAGGTCCGCCGCAGACGCTGCTTTCTGCTCCAGCACCTTTCTCTTGTGGGGGGGTAAAACCGCGCCGTTCCATGGGGGGGCCAGCGCGGCGGCGTCCTCCAGAAAGGCCCTGCTGCGCTTCTGGGCGGCCGCGGTCGCGTACGTTTGCAGTTCCGGCTTAGACTGCGTTTCGAGCGCCAGCGGCTCCTCCGGCAAACACAGGGCCAGGCGCGCTTCCAGCTCCAAACAGCGGACGCCGGCCAGCACCGCGCGCGACGCCCTCGCTTCCGCCGCCGTCGGTTTGCGTGCTTTCTTCGGGGGGGGTGGCTTTGCAGGCTCTGGAGCAGGGACCTTGTCCCCTGGTTTCGGGGCGCTTCCTTCGGTTGGGGGCACTGGGGTTGGGAGCTTCGAAGCCGTGGGGGTTTCCACTGAAGATGCAGGCAAGGGGGCTTCCACGGAAGTCACTTTCGGGGGCGCTTCCCCTTCCTCCCACCACCCGCCTAAAGTCTCCCCGCCCTTGTTTGCCAACCTGCGTTTCGCGGGCCAGGATACCCACTCCTTTCCGGGGACCGCCCTCAGAGCCGGCCACTTAACAAACCCTTCCTCCCCCGATGTCGTCACACTCTCGGCCTCTACCCCCAAGCTGCTTTCTGCCTTCTTCTCTGGCCGGCCGGGGTTCTGTTCCGCTTCGTCCGCTGAATTTGACCCAAGTGGGGCAACCTTTGCCCCCGGATTGGGCGCCATCTTGCTGACGTCATCTGCTGCAAATCCTGCCAACTTCTTCTTCTGAAGTGCAGCTTCGTCCCCTTCTTTCCGGTTGCCCGCCCCTCCCCCTGCTGCGTGGACAGTACCCCCAGGTTCGGCGTCGTCGCTGCTGTCCTCAGAATCGGCAGGAACTAGAGGGGGCATTTCGTCTTGCTTTACACTGTGTCGTTCCGACGTTTTGTCAATCTGGGCATACCTCCCCTCGTCCTCAGACTCGCTATCGTCGTCAACGAGCGCCGGCAGCTCCTCATCCTCTCCGTCTTCGCTTTCCCCGACCGGATGCAGGATCTCTTTCAGGATCGTTCGGCCATTTGCTAGGGGGTCCGTCGTCTTCCCCTTCTGCTTAGCTCCTCCGGCCGTGCCACCCCCCCGGGGGGAAATCTCTTCGTCCTCACCAGAGCTTCCGTGACCCGGCAGCAGCACCGGCATGCCCTCATCGTCCGACTCACTTTCCGCGGCTCCCGCCTCTCTTGCCGCAGATTCTGATCCGTTTGGGACAGGGGATGCTTCTTCCACCTTTTTCTTCTCCCCCTTTTTGGAACGCCCAACCTGCCGAGTTCCTTCACCCTCCTCATCCGAGCTCCCGTGACCCGGCAGCAACGGCGGCATGCCGTCGTCATCCGAACCACAGTCGCCTTCCCAATCCGGCTCGGTACCCTGCACCGCCGCCTCGACTCCCCGCGTGATCTCTTCCCAGAGCGCCCGGTCCTCCTCTGCGCTCCCCTCCAGGAGCTCCCGGTGCATAATCCCGCTGGCCGCGCCGTTATTCACAGGGAGTTGGGGGGACGATCCGAGACCCACAAAAGCAGCCGCTGGCGGCAAGGCCTCCCACATCCGATGCAACAGCTCCCTCAGGTTTCGCTGGCATTCGCCCACTCTTTCCTCCGGTGAAGCAAACTCTATTGGGAACTCCCCGGGCCGGTCCAGAGAGGGATCCCTCGGCGCCGCAAGTGCCAGGGCGCGCTCGCACTCCGCAACGATTCTCGCATTCTTCTCTTCTGTTCCGAACGACGCATTTTGTTCGAGCGTGGATGCATAGAAGAGCGCGTTGTCAATCGAGTCCGGCGCCAGCTCCGCCGCCCGCTTCGCCGCTTCGACTGCCGCATCTCTATGCTGCACCCACAGCCTGCTCCCCTTGGGAAACGTGTTCGCCAGCACCTTCTCCACGTACCCCTGGTACCGCCACGTCAGCGCCACGTCAGCGTGCTTGCGGCACGCCTCCCGCATCTCGCGGAACGCTTTCTGGGGGTTGCTCGTCACGGACCGCACTGCCCTTTCGCACAGTGCCCGGACGTTCTCAAGCTCCTCTCTGTTGGGTTGCGGCTTGGCCGCTGTCGTTGCATTTTGGGCTGCTTTTGTCGCATCTGGCGCGATTCCGCTTTCCTCCTGGGAGCCCAACTTTATGCTTTCCGCCTCCTCTTTCTGCCGCCGTCGCCTTTCTGCCCGTTCCCGCCTCGCCCGTGCGGCCGGCGTCTCTTTCGGACGATCCCCCTCCACTTCTCCGTCGTTTCCACCTCCCTCATACGCCCCTGCTTCGTCTTCCAAAGTGCCCCCCTGAAGCCTAGCGCTCCCCTCCCCCATTTCTATCTCCCGGGGGTGCACGGCGCGGGGCCTGTGCCCCCCCTTCATGCCCACATCCTCTTCGGCCGATACGGACCCCCACTTCCGGTCGTTCAGCCCATCCGCGAGGGACTTCAACTGCCTCTTCTTGGCTGGCTGCGAATCCCGCTTCCCCCCCGCCTTTCTCTTTGGCCCCCCCGCTTGCGGACCGTTCTGCGACATCGGTATACTTTCCGCCGTATCCTCCCAGGAGTCCGGAATAGGAGCCTTCCCTTGCCTCTGTGGAATCATTCCGCCAGAGGGCGCCGGAGCTTCTTTCACCGTTGTCTGGCTCCCCTCTTTCGGGGGGGCCTTCTTACTGTCCAAAAAGCCTCGCCGCAGACCCCCAGCGGCTTTCCCCTCCCCCTTCCCGGCCGCCGTCCGCTCTTCCGGCCAGTTTTCCGGCACTTTGAGCGGCGCATCCAGGATCGCGGTCCCCCGGGGCGCGCCGTCTTTCTCGGCGAGTTCCAGGTAGACGCGGCTCGCCTCGGCGTAGCGCCCCTCGGAGCGCAGCAGCTCGGAGGCCGCCTCTAGTTGGCCCTCGGCGCGGTATAGCGCCAGCAGCTGCTCGATGCACCGGTGCTCCGATAGAAAGTGGATGCGCGCCTGGCAAGAGGAAAGGTATCTAAATGTGAGAAGAAAGGGCCATCCGAAGGGCAAGTCTCTCCGCCTGACTTCTTTCTAGGAACTCTGCTATTACAAGTGGTGGATAATTCTGCGCTCACGACTTCCCTCTTTGCCTTGCCTGGAGAGGGCAGACAAGGCACTTTGAAAGGGCACTCAGGCATCAGATTGAACCGGGTTTGACTATCCACTGCAGAATCTTGTTTGAAACCAAGCTGCGCGGACCAGAACAGCTCATCAATGCAACCAGAAGAGAGCGGCTTGCAATTCAAAACCTACACTTTCCTTAAAGTTCAAGTCGGATCAGACGAAACCCTCAAGCTGAATGAAAATCAAAACGAAGCGGAAGATCTATTGACAAGCTCCGCTAGGTGGGTCCGCACCCGGCATGGAAACCAGAGCAGATCAGCACATAAACGGCTGTGATTCGGGACGCGGACTCTTCTCATGTGGAGACGGTTAACAAAGCAAATATGACAGTAGAACGACCCATGTAGATGAAAGAAACAAGGCCGCAAGAAGACAACATTCGACGCCAGCAAAACCTCAGCACATTCAAGCTTCTCAGCACTTTCAAGCTTCACTAGAGTACGAAACACCTCACACAACGACCAGAAGTAGACCCTCCTATTTTTTTCAAAACTCCCTCAGGGGTCCCGAATATCTCGACCCTCCTGTTCCGCTGCTCGAGACGATTCAACCCAGGCGTAGCAAAAAACATTGAAATCGCTGGGGGAAGGTCAAAACTGTATCGCTACCGTCGATCAAACGATTGGACGCTTCAGGTTCGTTTCGAGAGGCAGTTTTGCCAGGTTCTATCCAACCCAGGTCGGGAACCCTGTCCTCCTGCGATAGGACTGCTCGAGGCCAAGTGTTGCAGACTGGAATTGTTATGCAAAGACCGAGCGGCTTCGACACGATTCGGCTTTCTTGAACCACTGCAATCAGCCTACAACCCTCCCAGATCCTCACCTCCTGATCCGCAAACAGCGCGAGCGCGCGGTCGACCAGGTCCATCTGGTCCTTCCGCAGCTTGCCGCCCCCCCCCTTGGTCTCCTTGATCAGCGCGTACGCAGCCATTTCCGCCACTTTCTGCACCAGGCGGCGGTCCACCTTTTCGCGGTACCCCGGGTCCAGCAGCATGCGCAGCGCCGTCATGAGCTCCTTGCCGTGCTTGTACGTCGTCTTCACCGCGTCGTCGAACCGCCCCAGCGCCTCGTAGCACCGCACCGCGGCCGCCCAGACGTCCGCCCTGCGGGGCGGGGTTTTGAAAGTTTAAGCATTTAGGTTTTCAGAGTTAGGGTTTCAGGGTGTTGAGGGATTCCAATTGAGGGGAAGGGCTCCGATGCGAGCGCTGAAGGCAGGTAGCTCGTATGCTGTGACTTGGAACCGTGCCCGATGCGTTTGGAGAGGCGTCAGCCTCGATTGATCGTCGAATCAGCTGATTTGGATTCAAATTCTCATTCAGCCACGAGACGACGTGTGGCTCTTTCCATTGTCTGCGTTCGTTCTTCGAGCTTGACTACCCAATTGACTACCCAATTGACTACCCGATCAACCAAGATCCAGCCATCTTATGAGCTGCCAAGAAGCCTGGTCAAAGGGTTAAAGTCCAGGACCTATTACCTGACAAGGGAGTCCCCTCCCTCCGCCAGACATTCCAAGCTTCGAGTTTCGATCCTAAGCGCAGACTACTCGAGTTCTTCGCAGGTCTCCGCCCAGTCTGCTGCAGCTGAACCTGACGAGCTTTCCCGTCGCTTTTCTTTCAACCACCGGGTTAGGAGACGGGTTAGAGCGCTGAGTGCAAGTTTGCCGCTAGACCAGCAGTGCTTCCTCACTTGAGCCAGAGCGCTGCGGCGTCCCCGTAGATTCTGGCGGCCTCCAGCACCTTGGCCGCCTTGACGAGGTCGCCCGCCTTCTGGTAACACCCAGCCGCCTTCTTGGGGAAGCCGGACAGCGCCTCGAACTTCTCTGCACAGCGGACGCAAAACGCAGGACCGTGAGCGGAACGGAACGCGGAAGTACAAGCGTGTGTTGGAAGGAGAAGTGGAAACTGGCGGTGCATATGCTGTAAGGTCATTGGGCCCAGTTGAGCTTCCTGTGCCTAAGCAAGGCATCGAGGAACGCATCCGGCCAAGCGGGCAAGCAATCCGCTCCGAAAATCTACACCAAAGGCGCCCTTAGTACGGCAATTGCCTTCAGCAATCTGACCAGGCGACCCTTAACTCGACTGTCCTAATCAACCACTGCATGGTGTTTGAATCCTTTATCGACCTCAATCGAGTCGCATCTTCACCCGCCACCTCCAAACACCATAAGACTGCAAGCCTACCGATCGTGCTATCAGACCCCGTCACTACTCGCCCCCGCGGCGATGGGTCAGAATCACAAACCGCATGCACCATTCGGCATTCTGCATTTCACAATCTCGCAAAATCAAACTTCTTTTCCACTCAACGTAACAGACTTCACCCTCTCCGCACGACAAAAGTTTTCCCTCACCGCTGTTTCGTACGATCCTGGGATGTCTATGCTCCACCTCAATACAATCAACAGGTAAACCTGAAAACCCGGAAAATCTTAAACCCTAATTTCGAAACCCTAGAACCCCACCTGCGGCGGCCCTGTACGCGTCCCGCGCCTCGCGCTTCTTGTCCTTGACCTCCAGCCGCCACGCGTGCTCCTCCGCCAGGAAGGCGTCCGCCTTGCGCACCATCTCGCCGTTGCCCGCGTTCTTGAAGCACTCCATGGCGGGCTCCCACTTCTTGGCCTCGTAGAACTCGCGCCCGTACTCGTTCCACTCCTCGGACGAGCTGCCGCCGCCCAGCTGCGACTGCAGGTGCCCGCTCGCCTGGAACACCTCCGCGCTCATCAGCTGCAATAAGATTGCGAACGAGAGTGAGAACTAGGGTGGGGGCGGAAAACCAATGTGTGCAGTCTGACGGTCGGAGAGAAAAAGGATGTCAAACTGCTGCAATTTGCGTTCGAAAGGGAACACCTCCACGCTGCAAAAAGACGAGCAATGGAGGGTGAGAACTAGTACGAACAGAACACCGGCACGGCGTCCCAACCGCACACGCTTTCGCATGGCAGGAGCGGCCGCTAGCAGCAACCTGCTACTTCGGAAATAAGTCGGTGCCGGAGCAGTCTTCATACAGAAAAGGCAGCAGGCCGTTGGAGCATTGAAGTTCACCAACCATACGCAAAATGCACACAAACTTAACGTGCGGAGCAGAACCAAGATGAGGGCCCAAAGGCTTGTTTGACGCTCTGCAACTCACTGGGAGTTACAACACGCACTGCTTTGTGGGTGCGTGATCGCGCATTGAAAAATTCAGTCAAAAGTTCATGTTTTTGTCCGTTGCCTCACCCGCACGAGCTGCTTGGCCTCCCAGTACTTTTGCACGCCGTAGCGGTTCTTCTCGCTGGCGTCGAAGATGACGAGCGTCTTGCGCGCGCGCGTGACCGCCGTGTACAGGTGCTTCAGCTCGCTGCTCAAAATGTTGTGCTTCACCGGGTCGAACTTGGGGGGAGCCTGCAGGGGGGAGAAGTACGAGATTCTTTGGAGGAGTATGAGATTGACATAAAAGAGATTTGTCAATGAGCCCTCACTATGTTGTGCTTCACCGGGTCGAACTTGGGGGGAGCCTGCGGGAGGGGGGGGGCACCAGAATATGTGAAGGTATACGTTGATGATAGCGCTCGCAGTCAGGTTTTCAGTTCCCGACACGCTCTGCTCATCGGGAACGCATGAGCAGGGTTCGACGAAGATGAGGTACAAAACAATTCCTTACAAAGTATAAAGAATGGGTATTTGTGATCGTGAAGGTTTGCATGAACGATATTAAGAAGTCACCTTCTAATATATAGTAGTCTTCAGTAGAAAAGTCAAGACTCGAAGCAAAGCAGTAGAACAAAGTCCCGAGACGAGACCTGAAGACGAGACCTTCCAAAAAGTGTAAGCAGCCATGCCAAACTCTCGTCGCCCCTCCCCCACCTCTTCGCACTTCTCCCCGAGCATTTCCAGCAAGACCCGCCACTTGAGCTCCGCGGGCGAGTCGTGGAAGAAGTTGTACAGCAGCACCGCGTTGAACTCCATCCCCTTCGCCTCGTAGATCGTCAGCACGACGCCCATCTTCAGCCGCGCTTTCAGCCGCTCCTTCGCCGCTTGATCGCGCACCAGAATCGCCTGGTTCGCCCCAAACTCGATGCTCTCATCCTTACTCCCTTGACTGAACAACGACACGCTAAACCCGTGCTGACTGGAGTCGGTTAAGAAAATGGGTTTGGGCCCTTCGAGCGGTGACGTGTCCCCCCGGAGCTTATCAACCGACCCCGGAAAGTAATGGTGGATCAGCTGAACGACACTGTCGGCCAGCCGGAGGATCCCCCCGTGCGACCGGTAGTTCTCGGTCAGGTGCTTGCTTGAGGCAGGGCTTATTCTCATCGGGCAGGTCCGGCAGGCGCGACGGGCCCGCGCCCGCCGGTAAGAATGCGCCCAGCTGGCGCAGGTGGGCCTCCTGCTGGTGGCGGTAGAACATGGCGCTGACCTCCTCGAACTTGAACGCGCTGCCGCGCGCGATCGTCTGGGCGGTGTCGCCCGCCAAGAAGAAGCCTGAGGCGGGAAAGGTGGTCGCCAGGTTGTCCGTTTACCGACATAAACTCTCGTTCTTGACACTTTGACTTCCGCTGGTCACTTGCAAGAAGTGCCGTTCTGACATTCTGAAGGGAACGTTGAAGGAACATGGGAGGAATCTTGTTTGGGCGGTTCAAAGGAGAGATGGGAAGGCCGTAGATAAAGGGGAGCTTCATTGGACCGGACTCACCAGAGCTGTGTAAGACGGATACCAACATTTCAATTCCAGCATCTCCGTTGCATGATAGCAAGGGAGGCTTCACAGCAAGCCAACTCCCTGCTCCCAACTCATCCATATCTTCCGACTGAGCAGGTATGCCGACCCTGTCTCGAACCCTCGACTTCCAAGTACCATCTACAGAGCTCGACACTGCAGACCCCCGGGCTGTTTTTCCGGATGTCCATCGCTCGAAACGGCACGGAGGAGATAATCAAAAAGAAGTTCGAGGCCCCAAGTGTCCAAGCTTTGCAGGCACATGACCACTTTGCCGAAAGTAATGAAAGGTAAAATTCTACGCCACTCACCCTTGGGCACGTGGCACACGCTGAGCAGCAGCTTGACCTGCGCCACCGTCAGGTCCTGCACCTCATCCGAGTACACCTCGTGGATCGGCTGGCCCGTGTAGCCCTTCTCCTGCAGCAGACCCCAATCACAATGATTCAGTGATTTGTCAGCTCAGTGCACAGTGACCTGAACGGGGGGACAAGTAGGGTGGGTGAGAGTGCGGAGCACATAGAACCTCTGTTCAGAGTTTATTGAAAGCGAACAAGCTTACTGTTCACTTGGTTCCACTACAACAGTTTTTAGTGTTAAACTGGCCAACCAGATGTGGTGCTTCAAGCGGTCCGATGCATTGGCATCGTCGGTTGGAAGACGTAAGATCAGGATTCATGCTCTGAGCGTTTAGAAACTTGAGGGCAACTTCGACGCAATCAGCTGAAATCGAGCGTTACCTGCTGCGCGGTACATCATATCGCACAGCTTGAATCTGGGCATTTCTTTAAACCAAGAAAAGTCCCTGTTCGATGGTTTCAATGTTCAATCGCTGGTTTCTTTTAGTGTAATGCCCAGAAGGCCGGATCAAAACTAGTGTGCGTTCTTTGGGACATTGTCCTTTAGAAGTTCTCAAAAATCCCATACCTGCAAGCAGGCGTACACCCGGTGCACGCGGTCCATCATGTCGTGCTCGCGCCGCCGCTTCTTCATCTCCTCGTACTGCTCGTACAGCGAGTAGAGCAGCGGCCGGTCGTGCCGGAACGTGGTGAAGCTGCGCTCGCTCAGCGCCTGGTACTCCGCCGCGGAGAGCCGCCCCGCCTCCGACTGGACCGCAATCTCGCTCCCCTTAATGACGGCCATGATTTCCGCCCACACTAAAGACGCGTCCTGGCGCTTCGTCTTTTTCTCGTCCAAGTGCGGCCAGTACGCCAGCTCGAACACTTCGTACGTCACTTCTTTGCCGCCGAAGCCCCCCGGCGAAAGCAGCCCGCCGCGGTCCCCTCGCGGCGAGTCCCCGCCGTCCGAGTCAATCTCGGAGTCGCTGTCCCCCTCTTGCAGGTCCTCCTCTTTCCCGGTCCACCGCCGGCCCTCCTTCTCCACGATCTCGCCGCTCTCGTCGCCCAACGACAGCGCGCCACGTGTCCCCTCCGCGTGCCAGCTGCTCTGCCAGTCGTCGTCGTCGCCTCCCCCCTCGACCCCCGGGTCATCCCCCCCCCCCGCCGCCGGCTCCGCAACCGTCGCCTCGAGCGTGTGCAGTAACTTCGTGTACGTCAGGAAAAGCGGGAAGTGCTCCTCCTTCAAGCTGTGAAAATCGTTCGGCACCCCCCGGAACATCCCGTCGTCATCATTATCGTCTTCGTCGTGCGCCGCCACGTCACCCCCGACGTCACCGTCCTCCCCCGCCTCCTCGCTGACGTCGCGCCGCTCCTTGCTGACGTCAGCGCCCCCGCTCTTCTCGGCCGTCGCCTTGAGCCGCAAAAAGTACTTGCGCACCTTGTCACACAGCGCGGGGCTGGCGGTCACGAACACCTGGTGCAGCGCACTCCGCGCTCGCTTGACCCGGGCCCCGTATTCCTCCCCGTCGACGATTTCCCCTGCCGGGAGCGCGGTAGGCAGCTCGGGACGGGGCCCCGCGTAGAGCGGCGCGGCGGCCGCGGCCGCGTGGTATTGGCGAAAGAGCGAGTAGAGGCGGAACACGATGCACGTGGTCTTGCCGGTGCCGGAGCGGCCGAGGAGCAGAACGCCGGAACGGCTGTAGTCGATGATCGCGTGCTCCTCGCGCGACAGCTGGAACGGGAACTCCGTGTCGGGCCAGTGCTCGCGCAGGGACGCCACCTGAGGAGGGGGTGGGGGGGAAATAGCTCAGGGTTGAAACCGAAGAAGCGGAAGGCTTGAAAGAAATCTGCAGAGGCCCAGGCGGTGTTTTTGAGCGTAGCAGAGATGGGTGTCCCGCAGAAACGGAGGCCGTTTGTTGATGGTGTGTGCTAACGAGGCAGAGCCGGTCGACCGCACCGTTCGGTCTGATCAGAACTGATTAGTCGAAAGACCAACGTCCACGGTTCAATTTGAAACGACGGTCCTGACGACAACACACGTGAAAGCACTCTCAATGACATGTGAAATCTAGGTCCTGATCGAGAAATGGAAACGGTTTGAGAGCCAAAAGCCGCCCCGCGCCCTCACCAGCTCCCGCGAGAGCGGCAGGAACTTCATGGCCACCAGCAGGTCCTCCGCGGTCGCGGCCGCGTCGTCGAGCGGCAGGCGGCGCGCGGCCTTCCCGGGCGCCGCCTCCTCCTCCGCGGCCGCGAACACGACGGGCAGCACGAGGTCGCCGTCCGTCTGGCGCTGCCGGCAGCGGCGCACGCGCTCCTCGCTGTACTGCTTGTGGTACACGTGGATCTTCTGCAGCTCAGGGTCGATGCCGTCTGCGGGGTACGGAAAAGGGGGGTGAGGTTGCGATGGTGCGGTGTAGGAATAGAGGTGGCGTGGAAGTTTCAGATTGTCAGACTCTGGCATGCCGTTTGCGGCCTAGAAAAGTCCTTTGTAGGTCGATGAACGCCAGCGAAGGAACCCTCTCTCCGTCCATATACTTCCTCAGTCGACCGTGACTAAGTTCCCCATAAAGATCAGACCTTTCATTGCATAGACCACCCCTTAAAGGGTTTACAGCTCTTGACATTGTGGCAACAAACCGAAGAATACATTGCCAGGCTGCAGCTCAAGAGTCAACGGTAAGCATCTGCCCGAAGGTCAACGCAGCACGGAACGGCGGATGTGGGGATTTTTTGACGCGTGACACATTGACTTCTGCAGCAGGCCACGGTCTGCCATTCACCTAGAGCCTTTCTCACACGCAACGTTCTACAATGTACTGGATTCTTTCCAGAGCGATCGAGTGTATGCGGCGTCAAGAATAAGCATTTGCAGGTTTGCTGAGAGCAGATTTTGGGGGGCAAGCCGCTCACCGTGGTCTACCACCGCCCACACCTGCAGTGACGTGGAAGCAGGAGGTTAACATCTTTAGGATGGCCGCAAACCCGGGCAATGGGTACTTAAAATGCACGTGAGCAGCCGACCGAAACTGGCGGACCTGTTTCGATCAACGAACTTTCAACCAAGCGGCCAATAGAGAGGTGCCTGCTCGAAATGCTGCCATCAAGAAAGCGCACCATCTTCGCACCAATCGCAGCACTCAGAAGCGCAACCACTGATAGCGCCAGCTCTAGGGAACTGGGCAGTGACACTGGGGAGAGCGCACGGACTAACCTTGATGATCTGGGAGTCTGCGAGCAGCTCGTGCAGGTACGCCACGTCGACTTGCCAGATGATGCGCAAATTATTCTGCAACGGCGCATCACGGGGCGTAAGCGCCAGCCGGGCTGCCAGGCACGTGGTCTGTCTACTCGTGATGAGTGGTTTGGTCAGAGTGCTGGTCACAGTACTCTGACCAATCACAGTACTTAGCCACAGCGAAGGAGATCCAAGGGAGGCCTTTACTACCCAGTTTTAGGCGTTGCTTGATGGTCTGATAAATGACTCTGAATCAACCACACTTCCAGTCGGACCTCCGATCCTATCACAGAAACAGCGTCTGTCAATAGCAATGCTTTCAGTTCCTGAAAGTTGCAAAAAGTGTTTACCGGCGAGCCCTTCACGCTCTTCGTTCTGACTTCGTTCAGACAGACGACTCTAGACGATATTAGCCGTCCTTCCCAGAGCCAAATTTACCAACTTCGCAAGGCCCCAGATAAGGAGCACCCGGGCGAAGATTCCACCACTAAGCACTTTGCGCGCGGCGCGCTCACCAGGACTTTGGACTCGTAGACGGGCACCTCGAAGGCGCGCTTGCCGGCCTTGAAGACGAGCTCCTTGGCGGTGCTCTGGCTCCAGTAGCCCGACTGCAGCACCTCCAGCTTCTTCAAGCTGTACTCCAGCACGCCCGCCTGCTTCTGCAGCGTGCGCAAGATGTTCTGCGCGAGCACTACCTGCGCGGGCGGCGAACGTGGAAGAGCCAGGGTCTGGAGGAGTTCCGAGCTTGGGAGTCGCAAAGGTCCGGGTTTCCGGCTTTCACGAATCGAGGAAGACTGTGACGGTTGACTCTGTTCGCGTTACAAGAGGAAGGGAGTCAGACTCAAGTGAGTGGCTGAGGCAGAACGGAAGTCCGTGTTCAGAACAGATGTTAAGGTTTTCTCGGAGAAATTCAAGAAAGTTGAGGCGACAGCAGTGACGGACGAGCGTACAACCAGAAGCTTCAAGCAAGAGCCGAGGTCAGCTTCAATCAACGCGGATTGAGAAAGCCAGCTGTTCGTTCCGCTTCGCTTGGCAGTCCGAAACAGTCGGACTACGGGCTGCATACCAGAGAATGAAGCACGCTCAAGGATACTCTTGCGAGCGGAGCTCTCACCAGAGAAACCGCTCAGCCAAAAAAGCACCACAAATCGGGGCAGCTTTGCGAAGGCAGAAGCCAGCGGAAAGCGGGCTGTCCCAAGCAAACCAAATCACACCCTAATCACCTGCCAGGGCCTGCTGTCGTCATCCGTCCCGCCCCCGCATGCCGACTCGCCGTTTTTACCCCTCCCTGCAGAAGTTGGCCGGGATGCTTTACTACCCCCCTCCTCGTCGGCCCGTCCCTTCCTCTTTCGCGACACCCCGTCCTCCCCCCCGTTTGCCAAACCCCCCGCCTTTTCCCCCGTTCTAGTTTGCTGCCTGCCGGGTGCAGAGTGTCCCCTCGCGAGGGGGGGCGCGCCCCGCTGGGATGGCGCCCCCCCGTTTCGTTTCGACAGGCACTCCTTCCAAGCGAAGCAGAGCGCCTCTCCCGCCATTTTGCGCACTTTGTTCTCCGCCTCGCAGGGTGTCGACAGGAGGAACGGGTCGCACGCGCGCAGGTGGTTGAATATTGCAAAAGTGCGCGCGTAGGCTTTCCGCCCCGCGTCTCGTTTAGCGACGGACACCGCCAGAGCGAAGATGTCCTCGCTGGCGCTGGGGCACGTCAGCCTGCGGGACAGGGATCGATCTGACGTCAGCAGGAAGTGCGAGCGGGATACGTCCTGGAACAGCGGCTAGTATGACGTCATGAGGAGTCTTCATGAGTAGCACGGAAAAGCGACGGACAATAGGGAGGGCGCTCTGTGACGATACTTGATGAAGCCAACAGGTTCTGATGAGAGGAACAGAAGGTCTTCTGCCGAAATGGCGAGTCGACAAACCACCCAGAGCGCGATTCACAACCGTAAACCCACGCGTAACAGCATCTCAGAACTCGCCCGCGCGGATCTGCGAGTGAATTGCCCGATCAGCAGAGTCGGCGTTCGAAAAGAGAGCCTCTGAGGCGAACCCACCAGACGAACACAGCCCAGCGCCCGTCCAATTTCTTGACTTGTACCCTGACGTCTTTCCCGTCGAACGACACGGGCGGCCGAAGCGGCGGGGGGGCCTTGGTCCCCGGGAGCAGCACGCTCATCTGGCGCTGGAAACGGAGGCGCGCCTCCTCTTCCCGCCGTTTGCGCGCGGCCTCCGCCAGGTGGGCATCGACCCGCTCCTGCCACGTGTCAACAGGCAAGGCGTTAGTGATGATGATAGGAGGGTGAATTCGGGAGGGTTTGTCGGGAGGCCTACTTCAGGAGGCTGGTGTTCCTCGAAAGTCCAACTCAAAAACACGGCTGCATATCGAACAAGAGCAAACAGTTTCACGCAGAACACTTTCCTGACTCTGAACCCCGCTCTCCCCTCGAGCGGGCTGCCAAGCAACCCGGAATCCAACTGTTGACGAGAGCGCACGCATTTTGCCGAACGTCGCATACTGAACAGCATCTTAGTACATTGCTCACCGCATCTTCTTTCTTTCGCTGCGCCTCTGCCGCCGCAGCGGCCCGCCTCCTCTCCTCCTCCTCGCGCTGTCCTCGTGCGGCCGCCGCAGCTTGGCGTGCATGTGCCATGCTGCGCGCCAGTGCGTCTTTGGCCGGGCGGGCCGCTTTCCACGTGGCAACCACCCAGGCGTGCTGGAGAACTTCTAACAAATCCTGGAGTAAAGTGTGTTGGTGAGTAAGGTGCAGTGTAATGTCCGAACTGAAACGTTTTTAACAATGTCTCTGTCCGTGACGAGCGGCAAAGAGGGGTCCAAGGCTTGCACGTAAAGTATCACCACCGAATTCGTTCCAGACAGCACAAAATGCTGTCGATGACGATCAGCCGTCGAAGTTTGGGCAGCACCAGAGGAGATTGCGGGGTACGAGGGCTTTAGATTCTTGCAAGCGAGTTTTCCCTTTCGCGAGAAGCTTTCTTGTCTGGGGCAGCAATTAGCACCCTGTTGCGTCTCGCAACTCAGGAAGCCAGGCTCGAACGCGATGCTCCACTACGATACGCTCTGCCGTGAAAGTGTGACAGTCAGAGCACTCATTCGTATCCTGCCGAGTCAAGCCATGCCAACCTAGAAACGTGCATCATCACTCTGCCACGCGATCTCTCTGGCGAGCGCTCACTTTGCAGGTGTCCTTCTTGAGATGCTCCAGCGACTCCAGGAGAAGGCGGATCTGAGCATTGTCCGGATGCAAGAGCGCAGCCTCGATGTCTGCGTCCGTCTGGCCGGCGCGGAGAGCCTTCTTCTTCAGGGACTGCTCCGCGTCGTCGTTCGCCTTCCACGAGTTGAAGATCTGAGCGAAGGCCAGAGGATACGAATTTCAGGCGTACTCGACAAACCTTTTAACGTTACTGGTCTTGCTCTTACGACAGGGGATTGTGAGCGGTCGAGTTCGAGCGGGATGTGATATCAGGAGTATGAAAGATTCGGAGAAGAGGAGCGGTGCCAGAGGGTGGGCGTGAACAAGCGTATCAGATGAGACCAGACCCCACGAAACACGATCGGATTCTTGCAGGAATTTGTAATCTTGTAGGGCAGGCGCAGACGTACCTCCTTCAATTTCTCGAGGTCTTCTGGGGGTGGCGTGTACTGGGATCGACGGGGCACGTCGTCATCGTCGCTCACTTCCTCTGTGTACACGACATGGGGGGGATGATTGAACCTGCAGTTGACCCCCCAGTCAGAAAGGCAGGCTACGTCAACTGCCACAACTGTTGACCGCTTGCGAATCAATCAGTTCTGCCCCTAGGTCTCGAGCTTGCCTGGCTTTTGAACCGACGCGTGCAGCTCGATGGGAAGGTCACGGCCGGTATGCATTCAACACCATCGATGAATCAGAGAGTCTCTCGGACTCAGCTCAAGACGAGCTAACCAAACCCATGACGGGCATCCCGGCATTTTCATCACACGGTACATCTCCTCCTAAGAAAGACACGTCCAGAACAAAAGAGCCCCAACCCCTCGTCAAACCTCAGCAACTCACGAACCCGCTCTGCAAAGAACCGTTCCGAAAGCCCAACTCACAGGCACGCCTTCCCCTTGAGGCAGTACCCCTGGTCCTGGTACACAAAGCACGGCAGCTTCCCCGGCCGCTGCGGGAGCAGCGTCCCCGTCTTGCTGCACACCGCGCTCGGGGCTTTCCTCCCCGCCCCCCCCTTCGCTCGTTCGGACGACTCCTTTGCCACCAGCTTGTCCAACTCTTCGTACGTCTTGTTGAGCAACCCGCCCGCGAGCGACCACAGGTTCGCGCAGAACGCCTCGTCGTGCTCCTGGAGGACGACGGGCACGAACTCCTTGGCGGCGGGGCTGCAGAGGAGGAGGTCCTCGCACGCGCCCGCCTGCGCGCTGCGGAAGAGCGCGTCCTCGAAGAAGCCGCGGCACGTGTCGTCCAGGTGACTGCAGAGGACAGAGTTTTACAAGGGTAAAGCCCCACCTTGTTATTAATCAACCTGCCATTTGATCCTGAGCTCTTAAGCCAAGTATCCGACGAGCATGAACACGAAGGAAGGCAGGACTACACAGCCCTGGCACTCTATCAAAGAACCAGCCTGCCCTTTGGTCGACACCATATGGGCAAAGTCAGTGAATGTTTAGTGGTCATGTGAGGGAGCAAAAAGTCCCTCATTCCATCTGCCCATCATGTTCCATACCGCCACCACCAAGCTTCTTCCATCCCCTCCGTCTCTACACTCTGCTTTTTCTTTCATTCAACAGCAATTCACACGTCACTCTCCGTAATTTCCAGCTTTTCAACCACATGAACCAGTATGACCGTGCTTCTCCTCTTCTTCTCCAGTTCCTCAATGTTCCTACTCTTGAAACATCCTCTCTGGGGGCGTTTCCGAGCTACAAGAGTGACGGCCACTCACGGGTAAGCCAGCTTGATCTGCCACCCAAACAGGGGGTCCTGCAGGAGCGCAAGCGCTGCGCGCCGCCCCCCTGCCAGCACATCGTACAACCTGTCCACCAGGTTGAAACCAATGGAACCCCGCCAGAGGCTCATCCAGGTCCTCATGTCGGCCCGCAGCTCCGGCACCCCCTCCATGTCGCCCTCCATGTTGCTGGGGGCCAATTCTCACCACCTGCCTTACCTAGCCACTAGTCTAGGATAAATAGACACAAATAGGTCAGGGGTCACGTCAGTGAAGGGGGAAGAGCTTAGGGTTTGCCCTGCCCCGGGGTTTGGGACAAACGCGTGAAGCTCCTCCTAGGCGTTAGACAGGTGCTTTCAATGAACGTCAAAGCAGATGATTTATGAGTAAAAGTGAGAGAGCGGCTGGTTAGGGTGCAATGCAGGACGCAATTGGCTGGGGCGCACTGCCTGCGAACCTGCTTTGCCAGGCAATTGCGCTGAGGGCTTACTATAGAGGGTTCTTGACGGGCCCTGCCAATTGGTGGGTCTGTTGACTCTCTTTAAAATGCTGTCACCATGACCATCAGAAATCCAACTAGCACCAATTGGCAGACTGAGAAAGGGCCCGCCGCCCAAGCTTTATCCAAGGTCTTGACTCTTCCCGTCTCAGTTCCCTCCCAGCTCAACCTTCGAAGCTCTCCACTCTCGCAATTTGAACCTTTTTACGCGGCTGCATCGAACTCGGACAACCGGCCGCCTCGATACCTACCGGATCAGTCACCGGCCACCTTTCTCTCTTCTTACATCTCTTAGACTCCTTACATTCAGCCCGGAACACCTCTCCGGTCTTCAGCTCACCGGTTATAACCACCAGGCGTCGATCAGTCGAAGATGATCCCCCAACTTCAAGCTCGGCCACCTGCTGCTTTTCTCACGAGGAGGAGTTCTGAGCATTCGCTGGAGAAGCATTGCAATTTGCAGGAAGAAGACTTCGGGCGCACGCTTACAGGGCGCAAGTGAATCAGGCAGTGAGGTTACAATAGCCTCCCTTCACATCCTGAGATAGCATCCGCTCTAACCATGGCGGATGCGTTAAACAAACAGAGGGAGCTCTTTGAAGCACGGAACCGCAAGCTGCAGGCTAGCTTGGCCGCAGACGAGGCGGCACGAAAAGCGGCCTTGGCGCCCCCTCCCATCGCGCCCGCTCCCGCTGGCCCGGCTCCAGAGAGGACGACGCACTGGTCCCAGGATGCCAAGTTGAAAGCGCTAGCACAGCAGCAGGCGGGGGCGTGGTCGAGCGCACTCCATGCAAAGGAGCTGCAGGCGGCGCTGCGGAAGGCGCCGCTGGCGAGCAGGATCAGGACCGTGCTGAATGCGCTTCTGGAGGTGTGATTGTTTGCGGTGATGTCCGTTGGGGCGGGCGTCCTTGTTGTGATCTCTAAATTAGGGTTTCGTGGAGTGACTAAGGTTGCGAGGAGCATATGCATACTGGGTTCTGGCAGCTTTAAGTCACTGCGTTCATCAGGCTTTCGTTGGGGTTGAAGAAGCGCTAAATGTTTTCTTGTCGAAAGGAGCATAGTGTGGTACGTTCTTGGCTCTTTGGAGTGAAAAGGCTGAGTGAAGTGAGTCCCTCGGTGGCTCCTCGTGCCGGCTGCTGGTTTGAAGACATGGATAGAAGAGTTCATGCGGACATTGAGAGAGGTAATTCTTGACACCTGGCGCTTGTTGCAGGACCGAGGGCGCATGACCGCCGCTGATCTTCAGCGAGTCACAGGAATTGACGTCCTTGAAGCAGACATCATCAATCAGTTGCGGAGCAATGTTAAGGTGGACTTCAATGCACAAAGTGGAACGTACACTTACAAGGTGCGCCTGCCACTCTCGGCCACTTTGCGCCAGATTCCTCCACCGGATAATGGTCGGTATTCATCTTGGACACGGGGTCCTGTCAAAGATGTGTCTGATAGCTTCTGAGTTCATGTTGTAGAAGTTGCTAGCTCTTCAGATGTGTTCTATCTTTCTATCAACTTGCTAGCTCAACGTGGTCAATGTTTCTTCTTATGCATTATTTCGTGGCTTTGGGCACGTTCATTGGTGTATCATGATCGCACATTTGGAACGTGCAGTCAAAGCACAACGTGAGCGACAAGGCGGGCCTGCTGAAGCTGATTCGGATGTGTAAGGAGGGAATTTTGGTCAGCGAACTCAAGGATGCATACCCGGGGGTGGTGGAGGACATAGAGGTGAGACTCACCAGCACACAAAACGGACTCTGCGTCTGTGTTCTCACCACCATAGATTTAAACGTCGCTCATTTGGACCTATTTGCAAGCTTGAAGGAAAGCAGGTGATGGTTGAGTCGGGCTTCCAGTATGCATGATCCCTTTGCCGGTCTGCTTTCCCTATGCTGGTCTGCTATCCAGAGTCGGATATTAGCTGCACGCCCTATCGTTAAATCAGAAAGAAAACAGATTACCTTAGTTGTTCAGCTTCCTGTACAGCAAATCTCTCGACAGGATACACCAAAGTCTGGTTCATCTCGCAGATGATGCTTATAGAAGAATCAATGGTTGATAAGTCTTGGGTTTTGGCACAGGGCCTTCGGGAGGCGGGCCAGCTCTGGGTGCTTCCCAACCTTGATATACAGGACGAGATTGCGTACCCAAACGACCCGAAGGCCGTCATCAAGGTGGACAAGGATATCAAGGACCTGGTTCGGGGCATAGAGCTGCCACGGGACCCTTTAGATATTGAAAGGGAGCTTGAGAAGGCAGGCCTAAAACCGGCCATGAACACGGCTGCACGGAAAGCAGCAATGGTCAACCTACGAAAGTTCCTTGCTGAGCGGCCTAGGGAAAAGAAGAAGCGGGAGTCAAAGCGGACAAAGTACACCAACAACCACATGCCTGAGCTTTTCAATGGTGCTCAAGGCATGATGCCACACTGATCTGATTCGTTCATTGGGAAGACATTGTAACTATAAAGAATCGAGTCTTCGTCAAGCCACGTCATTGCTGGATCCGCCTACCTGTATCAAAGAGTGACCTTGACCGTTGTGCACGAAGTTTAGTCACAGGCTGCTAAGTTTGGAACCAACATAACTGCTACATTGATATCAACGGCAAGTCAGCTTCCGGTGACTGTCGCAAGGAGATCAGTTGCATGCACGCATGAGCTCGAGGAGTCGACTTAATTGGTGTTGGAGGATATAGCTGGAGAGAGCTGGCTCTGAGAGAATTGTGCGTGACGATTGTCAGGCATGGACGGCACGCAGGCAGCCTGGCGCGTGCAGTTCTTTTATGTGACACTGATGTATGACTTAGTAGGCGGCTGCATGCAGGGTCAGGATTGCATGGGCTAGTATGCTGCATCCTTTTGCTATTTCTTTACCACGTTCATTGCATGGAGATCAAGCGGGGTGCATGAGTGTGCCAATCACCTTATTTGTGACTTTGGTCCCCGGGCTTCCTGCAGACTGCATGGGAATATACTATGCGAGCACATATACTAAAGGCCTAGATGCCTTCTGCATCAGGGTGTGTCACACTGACACGAACAGGCGTCCAGTATAAACCTCAGACGATCGCGAAGAGGATTCTCGTCAGTTCGCTCCTTCGATGAAGATACAAGGAGCAGCCAGTCTCCGAGTCTGACCAGCTACTATGTTTACCGGCTCTTTATGGTCCATCCAATATACAGTGTGACTCTACTAGTACCAGCTGATGACACCCAGTGCGGCCAATCGTCCGAGGGGTCTTTGAACATCTTAACCAAGCCCCGGTTGCCCTGCAGTAGCAGGACGCTGGACGACCCGGATCCCTGCGCCCTTATCCCAGTCCTCGAGGTTTTTCGTGTCGCCAGCAATTGGGACGTCCCGGTCAAGAATCTGGTCATCCAAGCACAAAAAGGAAGAACCATTAGATCCACACAAAGAATGAAATCATGCACTGCTCAAACTGCGACTTACAAAGCAAACAAAGGAAGGCAATGACAAGATCAGACTGACATCTCACTGGACAGACGTCAGAATACAACATTTGTGGTGATGGGGCTTCAAAATAGCATTCGAACACAATTCAAGTTACATCAAGTTACCGAGATCAAAGACAGCACCGGCAAGGACGTCCTCAAAGCGAAGCATCTGTTCGGCGAACGGAGCACTCACGTGATCCGCCAAACCGTACGCAATCGCCTCCTCAGGCCTCATATACAAGGGCCGCTCCATGTCCTTGGAAACTTTCGAAGCATTCTGCAAGGAATCGTCGGTGACAGTCAGATTAACCTGCGGAACCTTCAGACGGAGATCCGGAAATCAGGACGGTTTCGTGACACTTTCACACTCTAGACAGGTTGCAAACGTACAATGGCATCAATTGACAAGATCAAAGTAGGCATCCCACAGGACACCAAGCCTCAAGCTCACCACGACAAATCCACGACTGCAGGAATTATATAGTATCGTACAGCGTGAAAGGATGCAAAGGCAGCCTGACTAGTGCAGGTCTAAGGAAATTCGATGTTCTCACCTGCCGGGTGTGGTACGACAGCAACCTGACAAGAGTGTCCCTATTTTTGACGGTCTGCAAAACCAGCGGAGTGGATGTCTCGGTGAACTTTCACGAAGCCTGAAGCCAGAAACAATCATCAGACCTACTCAGAAATGACTCGTAATCGAAGAAGAACCATAGAAAAACGGTTGCAAGAGGTTCTGCTGTCAATCGTTCCAGAATTGTGAACACAAAAGCACCGACTGATAACTTGTGCAATCAGCGCACAGCTAGCAATCATGAGCTATTGGCGACTACAGCGAACGCCATATGACATCGAGTTCAGTACTCGTGTCCAAAAGATCTGAGCGCATCATCGCAAAGAAAGCTTTCTGACACAAGAACATGTCTTCACGGCCTCTCAACATCCACCATACGGCCCAAACAAGCTCAGGAGTATCATCATGGTTTCTGTTGGTCGGAAGCCATAGTTGAACCGGCTTCCTTGATGCACGGAGACTCCTCCACAGCTAGAAGGATCATGAGCGAAAATAAACTGCTGGACGATGTCTTTGATTCATGTTAAGCGAAACCCCCTCAACCTGGCGATGTCTACCAGGCAGATCATGTACATTGAGCCGCAACCTTTAACAAAAGCAGCTCTCACCTCCCGAGCTCGGATATAGACGTCAATGGCAGGCATCAGACCACCACCCGGGGCCCGCGGTTGTTGAATCATGGCTGCACCACGAGATGAGCATTGAGATGAATCAACACAGCAGAGGGATTCAATCTCGTCTGAATGTAAAGACCTACACTGCTTGAACAGAGGAAACGCAAAGCAGCAAAAGGCACCCGGGATACCCGCGTACGCAGTTTCAAACGTCACTGGAGCTTCCAGTTGTGAGCCAGCGCAACAAGATCGGATCGCACCTGTGGAGTGCGGCAGCATAAACCGATGATTCTTTTTGCCGGCTGAGAGGAGCAAGGCCGCTTGCCCAATGGCGCACCCAATGCAGAGCGTGTGCACCTGCAAAGAGGTAGATCTGCCAATCTGTATCCTGGACGAGCATGTCTGGCACAGAAGGGCGGTGGTGCAAACTCCAGTCAGTGCTCTGGACAGGCGACACTTGCAATCAAACAGTAGATGTGAGGCCCACTCCTTGTCGACCTTGTCCCGCAATAAGCATGATTAACTAACACCTTTGCCCACAGCCATCCCCAGTTCCATTCACCAAATTCTTTGGAGCATCAGCAGAGAGTGAGTTCCTGCATACCACTGAAAAAGGGACAAGGCCCTCCCAAGGGACATAAGCAGCTAAGCATGATGGTAATATGACATGAAGGGCCTTCGCAAAGTTATCATACCTCGTTCTTGACATTCTGCATGGCATCGTAGATTGCAAAACCTTCCGTTTCCATTCCAACCTGCGACAGCCAGAGTGTTCAAGTTAGTGCTGCACAAAGCCCGTGCACCGTACACCTTCAGCATGAGGAAGAAAACAGATGATCTTGAGAATCTGACACTATCCAAACACAGCATAACCAAGAAGTACTTGGATAACTCTGATAAAACGCCAGCTACGCTGACTGGCAGATAAATGGGACATCCGAGACTGGCGCTAACTTACTGTTTCTCCATCCGCACGGGCTGTCCCTGTGGAGTTGATGTAGATGTGGATTGGCTTTTGGCCGTCAATCCATTGCAGATAGAGAATCTCTGCAATGATCAGTTCTGTGACAGCTGGCACGAGCTGCACACAATGAGAAGCGGGGCCGTAGGCTGTCATCCTTCCCAAAGGTCGGGCGTCGAGGGGCTTTGCAAAGCATTGACAGCAGCATTGACAGAACTCATTCATTCAAATCAGGCGCACCCAAGGTCTATCTAAGCATGCAACCAACTTAGTGATTACGATCTCTCAAAGTCCGAGATCGCTTTTGGGCCTGAGGTAGCCCATCTTGCTAGCGGGGCAGGAGGACTGCACAAGGGTCTCCCGTTGATTTCCTCGAGATGCCGCTACTTTGTGTATGCACCAAAATGGTAATGACTTTATCCTCTCCCGCAAACAAAACCTCGTGCACATGCCTAATGCTGTGATTGGGCCGAATGCTATACTATGGCCAGAAGAGGTGCATACGCGCTAAAATACCCCAGCATGCCGTGACCACCCTCCGCCAAACATCACTTTTAAAAGGTAGCAAATTGTCAACCATACGGAGCACTCTCGTTCTCTTAGCAATTCCTGAAAACACACTTCACGAGAAAAGAAAGTGCAAGCGGTCAAATTCTCACCGGCATCCCAATATACACAATTCGGCTGTTGAGAAGAAGAGATGGAAGGTCGGGGGGTGGACGCCGAGACTTGTGCTGCCCCGAAGATCCTCCGCCCCCTCGCTCCACTTGTGCGGGCGAAGCGGCCCCCATCTGAGGAGCATACGGTGCAGGAAACTTTGCGTTGCCATACTTCTTTGCCAAGTCCATGTATGCGTTGTCAAAAGGCGGCAAAAGAATGCCCCCTGAGCTCGTCATTCCGCCCGCCATGCAAATGCGGTCAGGCGCATTTGCCCTCCTTTGGACAGGCAGCTTTCGTCCCATAAACGAAGGCTTAGGAACTGTTGCGACCCCCTGGCCATTTGGACATGACGGCTGCCTGGAAAACTGGCAGGAAGGTAAGAAGTCTGCCACAGAGCAGGCGCTCCGAAGGCACGACGACGACGCCATCCACCCTTTACAAACTAGCACTACGTAGCACCTAGATCAATCAGGACGAAAAGTGTCAAGGTTCAGAGACACCTGCTGCTACAACTCAAGTACCTACAGGACGCCAAACCTGAGGCTGTGTTTTCAAGCGTTTAATCGCAGCTTCAATGTCAACTTGAAAGCGCCGTTCGCATTTCTGACGGGCCCGCTTGTCATGTCTGGCATGGAATATGTATAAGTGGTCAGGATCCGTTAGCTTATAGTATATGCCCCGGGAGCCAGCGTCGCGATCGATACGAATGTTTGTTAGAAATTTCCAATACGGTAGGTCTCAGGTCTGAGGTTGTATGGCCGGTTTGCTTCGGAATCAGTAGCTTATAGATATGTGCTTCTGACCAATTTTCTTGCCCCAATGCGGTATACAGCTCACAGCTATAGCACATGAGGACCCTCTGGCCCTGCACATGGGACATGGCAGACCGATGTGGAATTCTCTGCGTGGTGGTTCCGTCTTCAAAAGCTCGTGTCTGGCACTGCCCACCCGTTGATTTTGATGATGCAATTTGAAAAGAAACCATCATGATTCATGCATTCATAGAGCTTCCTCTCCCCAGAAGTCAATGATTCTTACGTTGGCTCCTACACAAACGGTATGCACACAGGGGCTCATGCAGATCGTTTCAAAACAGAGTTGGCGCCTTGGCAAAATTGACAGCATGTAATGCAACATGTTCAGTAATGATGGTTTATCTAACTTTGATCGTTTCATTCATGGCAATCTCGTTCAGGGTGTGTGATTGAACATATGGAGCATCGAGCATTCGAGATTTTAAACATGACCTCCGAAATAAATCTATTGCATGGACTCACAAGTACACCGTCTCATGCGGACTCGGGGTAGAAAAAGTCGGTCCGAAAATCTAGAGGCAGCCGCTAGCTCTTGTTCTTGCGTGCAAATGGTCTTGTATGGTACACATCCTCTATAAGCCCATTCATAAACTTGGCGAGACTCACAATTCTTCACGTAAGGCATAAGAAGGTCCGTCTGCCCCATCAAACGTTGACAATGCAGCTATGATGCTCTCGTAAGCATCAACCCCTTCTAAGAACACGCCCTCATTCAAAAACTCGTTATGGTCGTGCAGAAGGACCGGGGTTTCCCTCATTGGCGAAAATCCAATGACGGGGAAGTCCTTGTAACGGAGGTACCGTCCATCGGTGGCCGCTGGAAAGATCTCTGGCTTGCTCAGCTTGACACCCGTCTTCTCTACAGCCGTTGCGAAAACAGCCCACCATGGGTTTGAAACGTCGAAGGGGGTGACCAACGGCTCCGCAGACACGGACCGATAAACATTCTGTGCAGAACAACACAACTGGTCAGCTTTATGTGGTTGAAGCAAACAAATTGAGCTGGCAATGCCCTCGTTCGAGCGACTTCAGAGTGCACCCCAATCGTCCTCGACACGGAACCGTGAAAAACCGAGGCATTCACAACCAAACAGTCAGGGCAATCCCCTGAGCGTCTCGATCAAGCACTTCAGGAGCTGAACCAACTCGACAAAAGGTATCAAACTCTACGAAGCTTTTCAAGAGGCAGACCGAAGCCCTGGTCGAATAGGCGAAGCAAACACGCTCGCCCAGGAGCGTTCTACCTGTTCAAGCAAAGATACGTATGCTCAAGGACTCCACGGACCCACCTTTTGCAGAAACTCGTACGTCATATTCCTCTCCACAGGCGCCCACTCCTCCCGGATGCGCCGCTCGAGATCCTCGGCGTCAGCGCTGGGGGGTATCCGGATGTCGAATCCGGCCTCCGCCTCAGACGGCTGGAGGTTCATGACAAACCCGGAAGGGGAGGGCGTGCCGGCTTTCAGGAAGGAGAGGTTGATGGACGTAACCTGGGACAACCAGGAAAACGGTTCGCTTGAGTTGATCTGGAGATGAGTAATGGCGCTAAAGACCGTCAAAGGCCCAGAGATGCACGAAGTCGCGAACAGGAGGGACGATGAACCCAAGCCGTTGAGAGGAGCTTCACAGTGGCCTGTGATTAGCACGTTGGGCAACGGAGATCAAAATGGGTTTGCAGAAAGGAGTCCCGAACGCTTGCTTTTAGGATAAATCGAGAGCGACACACCGAGATCGCAAGAAACAAGAAGAAATGTCTGAATACGAGGACGCGACTTGGAGACGCCACTTCGAAAGAGCTGTGAATTCGGGGAAACACTCCCAACAGGGTTACATCCGTCGGGCTTGGAAGCAATGGCCTGGCCGACAAACAAAACCAGCCAAAGGGTGTTTGCGGAGCTCACTTCAGCCTCTGCGGCCTCCCCGCTCTTGTAAGCGTTGAACTCCTCTTCACGGTATGCGCTGATCAGCGCCAAGCTCTTCAGAAGGTTCTCTGCCGCGGAGCCATCAAACAACTTCGAGCCATGGCCTGCAGAAGAAGACCGAAGGGAACATCAGTCCAGAGATCAAGTGTAATCGCTCCGTCGCGTTTTCAGAGATTGGATGCCTACGGTTCTACATGTTCCTTGCTGCAGGTAAGCGGAGTAAGTCATAATAACTCCAGGAACGAAGAGAGGAGTTTCAAACTACCTGATTCAGGCAGACCAGATTGTCACAACCAATGTAAAAGCGACACCCTTGAATACCCACAGGACCCGCAGGAACTTAAAATTTGTTGCAGGAAAGTATCCATCAACAGGAAACATGAGATGTTACCAGCTACCATCCTTTTTGTTGTAACAAGTGACGCTATCATTAAGGTGATGTCTCCTAACCGCATATGCCCACAGTCAAATCAAGACGCAAGGGACGCCCTTCAGGGCTCTTCAACTTGTCCGCTCCCTCGCGAAGAACTTGTTTACGAGACGGCGTACAAAGAAACGGTGTTGCCTTACCTGGTGCACCCACAGCCTTGATGCTTAGCCACCAGAGGGTCCTTTCTCCATAAAAAACTCGATAGTCTGCGGTGGGGGACGCCAGCCCCTCGTCCAGGGCCACACCCACCTGGATGTCTGAAAACCTGAGGATGTAGGAATATGGCTTAGGCACAAAGCGTTCGGCAGAGCGCTTAGGACCACACAGAGCTCATAGGCCTGGGTGCCTTATAACCAAACGATTCAGCCACATAACATATTGATCTGAGAACGCAGTGCTGAAAGACATCACCATATCAGCTTCATTTCATATCCCAACTTCACAATGGTGTGGCAGCGGGAAACCAAAACAGTGAGACAAGAACTCTCTTATATCCAAAAGCCGGCACTGCCTGCCGTTCAATCTGAGCGAGGAAACTGAACTAGAATGAGCACTCACTTCTCAGAGGCAATGAAACGTTCCATCCCATCATGGCCGCCAATCTCCTCATCTGGAACAAACAGTACGTGAACGCTTCTGACCGGCTTGAACACTTTAGCCTGCAGCTTCCGAATGGCCTCCAAGTACTGCAAAGATGATCAATTGAAAGTTTCAAACCCTGGACCAGGCCAGTCCACCCCTGTTCACCTGCTGAACCAAGAAAAGAGCGTACAAAAAAGTCCGATTCCAACGCTTTGTTAGACAAAGATAAACCAAGAACCAGAGGCGGAAAAGTGGCATCAGAGAGCCCACAATTGGTGCACGTGCATTCCTGCGTGCATCAATAAATGCTGATCAGCAGAACCCCAGGCTGTGCATGCATCCAAAAGGGGAATACACGCCGCACCACCGCTTCATCGCCCGGAGGAAAGTGTTCTGAGCGTTCAAAGCTGTCATAGATCACTGATGCATCTGCCTGCGAATCTGGTCTATGCTTTCAACTCAAAGTCACTTATCTGTGCTCAACATGCAGCGTCAGGATGGCTGACCTGAATCCCAACGCACTTCATGTCCTGCGAACCCCGCCCTACAATGTCGCCGGATGGCTCCCTTACTGCCTCGAAAGCATCATGGCGCCACTTGACTTGCTCAACCGGAACTACGTCCATGTGAGAGTTCAACAGAATAGAGCTGGCTTCAGGATTGCTGCCCTTCCACGTCATTAGTATAACAGGGTCCCCACTCACAAACTCCATAACGTCAACTTCAAGGGTGAGATTCTTCCCATAGGCAACCAAGAACTCTTTTGCGGCTTCGTAATCTGGCTGCGGGTGCACCGTTTTGATACGCAAATATTCACGGAGGTTAGTGACCGCATCCTCAGGCAACGATGCAGCAGTTTGCTGGATGAGGAGGAGGCCGAGGAGAAGCGGCTGATATGGAATCCATGCTAGACCATGTGCCGCCATCTGATAGGGGCTCGGATCAATACCAGAAGCCTGTCTAATGCAGAAAATGCCGCCAATGCGGCCTGAAACTCGCTCTTCTGGCACCACTTCCGGAAAGTGCACTCGTCTTCAAATTCAACTTCTGCTTCGAGTTCAAGTTCAACTTCCAATGGCAAGAATCAAGACTTCGAGCTAGGGGACTTGGCTGGACTTTGAAGACTCCAATTCGGAATTCCACGTCACTGTCCTGGACCTCAGTCACTTGTCTTGTCCAGCTTGATTTCAATGGAGCATGTCATTGCAACAAAAGGCTGATTTGAAGCAGGTCCCTGCCACTCATACAATAATCAACTGGTTGCGCCGAATTGCCGCTGATGCCTTGAAAGCAGCTGATGATGGTGGTGGTTACAATATCGAGCAGACAGGCTACTGGAGCTCATCGACAGCAAAGGGACCCTCGTCGCGCTTGGTCGTTGTAATTGTCCACCACTGTCCAGAGAAGCAGATGTGCTGGGCGATAGTTGCCCTTCTCTAGTGGACAATCGAGCTGGTTCTGCATCAGACGTCTTTGCAGAAAAGAACTGTTTGGCATCGCCAGTAGTATTCGCACAATCAAAGTGGGGATGCCAGCGGCAAGGGATCAGTCAGCAAACATGGCTCAGCTTGCTACGGAATTGAGCAGGCTGCAGTGTCCGGTGCCAATTGTGTCACCACAGATGCTTCTGTATCCGGGGCAAACTCGATACGCCACATTAGAGTGGCTGTTTGGAAGGTGCTTAACCTTTGCCCTTTTTGAAACAAATGTTCTCAAGTTGTTGATTGATGGGGAATTCTCTTAGACTCAGAGGTACAAGATAAAAGGCTTTTCTGCCGTTCTTGCTTCCCTTGGATCCACCAAAATGCACTTTGCTTTGCTGGTCAGACTGTGCTGGCTAAGAATAATCCTTCCTATGCAGTTTGTTGGGGGAAAAGTCACCGTTTGCCTTTGGTCAAGCGGACAGCCAAGATGAGCAATCACGAATTCAGCGTGAGTCAGCATCAAGATTGCATTCCCCCCCATAGAGAACACTCATCGCAAGTACTTGGCATCGAAATGCATCATCGGTGGACTTCAGAAGAATTATCTCCTCTGTCTCTGTCTGAACTGTTTGGAGTGATTGGTCAGCTGCTGAGAGTGTGGTGTGTAAGGTTGTCCAGATTGTCCTATCATTAAGTGCATCTTGTCATTGATGCTTCCTGCAGGGCTTGCAGATGCTGCACACTTTCTACAGTTTTGTCAGTCAGCAGATGTGGAGCTCGTGCAGGTGAGTTTTCAGATATAATTACCGAGGGTTCACTGTCAATTAAAGATGTTTGCTACGGTCTAATCATGCTCGTTTGCGGGGCCTCACTTCTACTTAGATCCCCCCATCCACTGAGATCTAACTCACCTAAGATGGAGCGCCCAAATACTTACACTGCCCCTGGGCCGTTGGGCTGATGAATGCCCTCCTTGCGTGAGCTCATTCGGTTTGCAATTGACTTGCAAACTTATGGTTGATCAGAGCATGTCTTCTGCTTCGTTGAGGGCAATGGTTCATTCTGCAGGGCTCCGGCTCCATCTCTGATCGGGTTGGGTTTTTGCGGCAACTTGTTGAGTGTGTCGATGCGGTCCGCAATCCTGTCAAGCAGACTTGGAGGTAAGTGTCTCGCGGCCTTGTGGAATCAGTAGATTCTGAAGATTATTGCACCCTTGCATGCTGTGCTTTCATAGGTTGAAATCTGCCAGGACATCCTTTGCAACAAAGGCCATGACAACTTTTGCTCTAGATCTGTACACCAATTCATGGCTCCTTCTATGAAATGTATTTGGGATCGGTTTTTCGATCTCCTTCTCATCTTGCTCCACTTGATCCACTTGCAGTCTGGACGAGCAAACCGACCAAGATATGCAACTCTTGGAGAGCATATGCGAGCAAAGGCAGCAGGTGTTCTCAGAAGATTGCCAGTTGTTTCCACGAGATGTGCCTTGCTCAGACCCCCAATTGTGAGTGGTAGTGTATGCCCCCTCTACTCGTTTGTGACTTTCAGCAGTCGGCTTGGATTCTAATCACCTGAAGGATTCTTGAAGATGTCTTCGCGACTTCCCCTTCCATCTTCGAAAGCTGTCTTGGGCCCAATCGCATCGTTCGTTTGTGCTTCGAAACCAGCCAGAAGTAGCTCCAATTTCGCATTGACGCCCTGCCATGTCTAGGCTCGAAACAAGAAATTTCAAAAGTTTTGCCGCCATTCAACCGCACGAGAAGGATCACACTTTTTGTATGGTTTGTAGGCCTGACGAAGCCCTTCTGGAGTCGAAGCTCAGGGAGCATCAGGAAGAACTGACGAGGGTGCAAGAGATGTTGCAACTGCTTGTCAGACAAGAGGTACGTCCTATCTTAAGTGTCACCCTTTGCCACAGTCAGTTTAGCTGTTTCTATGCTGGCAAGTACCCCGTTGAACTGACAGCTGGCATCCTTTGGCCCGTTTTACTGTGCGTGCTCCAGATTTGCTTCACTGAAGTACGTGATTTGATTAGTGCCAAGGCTTGTGCCTGCAGAGCGTTGAAGAACCAGGTGGAGACCGTGCGGAGGCCTCGAAAGAGCTTCAAGGGATGTTAGACAAGTTCCTGGAATCTGCAGAGGCGTTCGACTCGATCTACAAGAGAGTGAGCCGCTTGTTCGATGTGCTAAACTCAATATTCTATGCAAGCAGACTCAGTTTGAGTGGAAACATCCTGCCGTCTCAAGGCCTTTGCAGACAGCCGGTCAGTTAGTTCACCGAGCACAGCGGTTTGTCCTTGTTGTCTGCATTCGTGTGACGGCATCGTGCTGACTGGACCTCTTTTGCCGTCAGATAATCGAGCATTGGGCCAAAGCTGTAAAGAAGCCGGAGCTATATACCTTCGGGGCTGACTCGCACCACATCCTGGGAGCGTACACCACATTCAAACAGGTCAGTGATCCATGCATTGCAGCACATCACCTCTCGACAAGGTCGTCTGACGTTGTCTGCTCATGGTTCTCTCGTAATTTACTTAAACCACACTTGCTTCTATGGACCACTGCCGCCCACCAGAGTTGTGGTGGATTCGATCTGTCCAGTTGTTCTATAGTCATTCGGCTTGCGACACGAATGTATCTTCCAACAACCTGCTTTCTCTCTTCTCTGCAGTTATGCACAGCACTACATAAGATCAGGTCAGCTTCCCGTGTCCTGACGGATGAGCACCTCTCTACGACCTCCAATGAGACACGAGGTACATCCAGAAATCTAGCGCTGCTGCAGACAGGGTTGCAGCCGTTCATTGAGACGTATGAGGAGGCCATTGTGGCTATCGATGATGGACTACGTGTCTTACAAAGTGCCCGGTCATCAGGAAAGTAACTCATACCGGATCATGTACTTCAAGGGATTGGTTTTGGTATACACGGAAAGCCATAATGAGACCGTCAAAACGAACACGATAATAAGCAAAGAAACTTCGGAACTACAGACATGGTTAGCTTGTCGAGCGCGCAAGCCAACCGATGGCATGGATTCACAATTGGGAACACAAAAATGAATGCGCCGGTTGGGAAGGTGAGAGTGCAAAGCAGCCGTTAATCAGGGGCGACTGAGAACTCAGCACGTAGGCGTGAACTTAAGCAGAGTCCAACTTGCTGGCCTGCAGAGCACACTTAATGAGACCGTCCATCAACGCATGCAATTTGTAATCATTGAAAGTGTATATGCATAGCTGTGATTGCCTGATCATACACCGCATGTCCTGATGCAGAGCCTTCAGAGCTGTGACTCAGCCGAATGTGTGAGTTTATATACGAGTCGGTGCCTATACCATGTCTAGATCGCGATGATTCACGCTGTCCTGCATTAATGAAACCACATTTCATGACCGTGTTTTATTGATGAATGTATAAAAGTCTCAAGAAAGAATTCTCCTTGTAAAGTGCGCATATCTAGGAACAACAATTATGGCGGACTTTGCCCAACATACGCGGTACCTCCGCGTCCATGCTTAAGATTCAAGAATATGTTTACAGTTGGATAGATGCATCTAGCTACTATCTAACCCCGGTCCAGCATGTCAAGATTGAAGACTCAAGTTGAGATTGCAATGCAATAGATGCTAGCTTTACAGTGACTTCAAGATTCGAATCACTTTTGTCTCAATTTCAGTTCAACGAACTACCCATTGCCACTCCCATCCGACCTTAATAGTAACAGCTAGGTACCAAAGCTAGCTCCACATACAACGTTCGCTCATCCGTCGACCATGGTCGAAGCTATCCAATCATCCGAATATGTCGAAGTCCTTAAACTCATGGTGCATGTTCAAGCCCAAAACCTTCGCCTATTAACATTGTCCCAATCAGCTCATTCTTCAAAACACTGCAGACGCACCAGTCCTCGTCCTAGTTATTTTGGGTCACCATACACTTTATGTCGAACTAGCTATTGTGGCCCGTGGGTCAACATGCACCACATAAAGATAATGTACTCAAGCTTTCTGCCGAATCACAGTCAGAGCAAGCATGAAGTAATCAGACGTGCACTGTCAGGTGTCAATGTTCAAAAGGCGACGAGCCCCTATTTGGCAATAACCCACTTGGAAACTGGCATTGTTCAAGCCCATCACTGGAGAATGATGAAGATAAAGACGCCCTATGCTGGTGCACAATCTGATCCGTGAGCAACAGTATGCTGCAGAGCAGTTGCACGACACCAACATGCACCTGAACCTACTCAATAACCTTCAGTAACCTCGGACAGCAGTTCATATCATTTCACAGTACAATCAGTCAGGTAATGGTCGTCACCTTGCAACACGTCTCAATTGAATCCTTGCCTTCCGAGCTTCACTATTACCTCCAAACTCCTGGCCCTGGATACCGCTCGGCAAAAGCCAATGATGGCCTTACGACATGCAGAACTCCACAACAGTACTATGCTTGGAATCCGAACTTGGCTTCGCAGTGAGCCAAGGCCTTTCTAACAAACTTCGAAGTTGACTAACCACCAAGTTGAGAAAGACGGTCCAGGCTGGAAGCTACTTCTTGCCAAAACCACCAAAGTTGAAGCCTGTGCTTTCAGCTTTCTGCAGGCAAGATGAATAGATTCTATTACCAACTGCATATGAACCAAGAAAATTTGACCAGGACTCACAACCAAGGAGCTGTCATCAGCAGAACAACACATTGCCTGGGACGCAAGGGGTTGTTTTCAATAATACTCATTCAGCTATTGAGTCAAAGCGGTCTGCTTCACTGCAGAGATGGTCTAGTGCTGAAGGTCAGAGAAAACATGGTTGCAATCCATCTATGAATCATCATGATGAGGCTCATGCATTGTTGCCTCAAATTAAAAGCTGAGGCCTTGAATGTCTGACTGCTTCAACAGACTCTCCAAGACCAAGGATTGATTTTGAGCACTCCGATTGCAGTCTGGCCAAGCTTAGCACAAAGTAGTCAACCAAAGCAGGAGCCTTACCTTTGCAGGTGCTTTACCTCTCGGCAACGGAGACCTTGGTGCCTCTCCGTTTTCAACCTTATTAAACAAAGGGTTCTTCTCAGTGAGAGCCTCCCCCTTTGTAAGTGCCGTGTTTGCTAACCAATCAAAAAACCCTTTCTCTTCTGCCCCTTTTACTGCAGCGTTCCGAGAGGCCATAGCAACAACCCTGGCCCCTCTTACCTCTCTCCTACTGTTCAAAGATCCCCTCTGGCCCATAAAGGGAGATGAAAGAGTCAACCTCTGGGTTGCGCAGGCTGCACTTAAAGCCATGCTGGAAGTTTCTTCTTCAAGGATGTGCTTCTGAGGCGAATGCGCAGCGCCAAGGACCCTAGCCTCTTGGATCAAAGCCTTCCTTCTCTGGATTGGAAGCTTACGGTACACCAACCTGAAATGATGATACCTACCTAGGTCCTATTCCTTGCTTGTAACAATGCAAGTTGCACCTTCCTTTCTCCTCAAAAGTTGCGTCGTAATCCAATTTCTGCCTTGCTTGCCACCTTGTTGCTGCTGCATAAACTGCCATGAAAGGAAGTTCAAGCTAGCTGCGGTTGCATGCCTTTTTAAGAGTCATTCACACTGCCTCTTGGAACTCCCAAAACCCATCTACAAGGGGTTAAAATTTCAATGAGGTCAACCAGAAGCCGTCAGTGTGAATATGGCCGATATAAAAAGTGGATAAGGTGGCTATCCCCGACCAGGATTTAGCACAGGAGTACAAATCGACGGCTATCATTGCGGCACTCAGCGGACGTTTAGCGAGTTGGACGGTCCTTCCGGGCCCCCTTGTATTCGGACGGTCTATGACCGTCCGAGCCGCGCCGTGGAGGGTTACAAGGCTATACGCTTAGCATGATCATGCGTAAACTGTTGCAAGCCGCGCGCCACACCATCTAGATGATGATTATCCTTTTAAATAGGTCTCTCACCGTGCCAATCTTTGCGTCGTTGATCAACAGATGACTTCATGAAAACAAGCATACGGTAAATTGGAGGTAATCTGTGCACAAAGGCTCGCCCAATATACGTGAAAGATCATTCCAGCTCGAGCTTGCTATGTAGAAGCCTGGCTCCAGAACCTAAAGTATGCAATGCTGCCTTTGCTTTCATGAAACCGTCCTTGAGGTAGAATCGTAATATGTTTGTTCAATCTACATGTACACAGGACCAAAAGGACTTGCTCTGCTCACAAATCCAAGAAGCAATTAGTGCAAGAACCGGACTACTACACAGGTTATGTTGTCTGCACTCCCACGGTTGTATGCTTCATCCGTCAATTTCTTCGCCGCCTCTTGAGCATCGGTCACACTCTGCACTAATTGTACCGCGTCCTGCATCAAACCGGAAGTTCCGAAATCAGTCAATCGACAAAGCAACCACAAAGTGAACGGCTGCGGACAAACAAGGAACGTCTATCGCAATTACGACTTAAGAGATAGGAATCTGTGCGACCTTGGATGAGAGGAGCATCAGAGTGTTCCTCTTCCACAGTGCATTGCCTTTTTGAGCATATCCAGCGTTTTCACTCACACACCCTTGCTTGAAGCGCTCCGCGTCTAGGTGGGCTGCAGACCATATGCCTGGCTAATGCAATACATCTTGCACCCCGGCAACTTAGCTCTGCTGGACTACCTGGACAGTCGACTGAAATTTGCAGAAACGACCATGACGACAGTCCCACTTCTCGAAATGGCCATACATGCCTTTCAAATGCCATGAAAGTGGAGCGTTACCTGATTGCTGATGACGTCCCACAGGCCGTCACTAGCGAGGATCAGGAAGTCGTCGCCCGTCTTGATCGTTTCCTCCTGCAAGAGATGCCACACAAACCTCAGCGAGTGGACATCAATGGCCAAACAATGCACGCACAAGGACGAACAGACTGACGGACCACAAGAAGAAGACGCTGAGCTCAGTCTGCTCATACTCAAGCCCGTTGTTCAACCGGGTTCCATGCAACTTGCCCTACCAAGCAAGACAGAGCACAGCTGCGAAGCAAGGTCAAGATCGTTGCTCGCCATACCAAAGCGCATCACCAAAACGGACTTCGACCACTAGGTGCTCGGACGGCAGAACGAGGTGCAAGCGAGTGAGCCTCCCACCTGGATCTCGGGTTCTGGTATTACGTATCGCTTCAGAAGACGGTCTCCAAAGGCTCGTGACACTGCCAGAACCCCACCAACTCTCCATGTGCCTGCAAGGCAATGAAGGCAAAATGGATTAGCCCTGCACGCTGCCCAATGTTCCCATCCTGACAAAGATGCGCTTGCGTCGTGCCACGATAGGGCAGCAGGAGAAAACGAAAAGCCTAAACAAAAAGACATGCTTTTACAACTTCTCTTAAAGAGGACGCATGAACTTACCCGCCCACATAACGACTCCTCCCGCATTCTCAATGCGCTGTCTCTCATCTGACCGGTTCGGCTTATGATCAACCGATAGGGCGATAGCTGCAGATGAGCGAAAAGCACATAAGCATGAATCAGGAGAACCCAGTAATGCACAACAGTCCCTATCTGATTTCTCGCAACTTAACATTCAGTGCAAGCCGTACGATGCAATTAGGAAGTAAGAGCTAAGCGACTCCCTTGAAGGGCATGATATTGCCGGCCTAATGGTGGCATCAGGATTGCCAAGGAGAGACTCTCAGAATCAGCGGCCTCGCCGTTACAGACTCCTACAAATTCGCTCCCGGTTAAGATGATCATTTTCCGACCCAATCTTTGAAATTAGTGCTGCGCAAAACACGCTGCTCCCTGCTGGATAGCATACCAGGGACTGTTGATGACAGGGCTTCCAAGAAGGTTAACACCGGCTTTCTCCTTGACCCTGCACCGCTGTTTTCCATGGAATCTTCACGAATCTGTTTGAACTTTAGAGGCCCTTTGGAGTCATTAGCATTCACATAATCTGCCCCGCGATGCATCCTGCACCGGCCCCCGCACCTTGGCCTCCTCTGCTGATGACGGCGCGCGAGTCCCCCACGTTTGCAATCAGCAGCTTGTTGCCCACTATGACGGCCGTCGACGCCGTGCTCCCGGCGTCCTTGTTCTGCGCGTTCTCGGACTTGAGGTAGTCCTGGTCCGTCTGATTATACGACTCAGCGATGGCCACTGCCGTGTCGGACTCAAACTTGGGGTGAGCGGACAGGTTCTGGAAGATGTTGTTCTGGACGTACTCTGCTGCGCGCGCGCCGCCGTGCCCTGCAAGAAAGGAGGTCTGCTGGTTCCCTGCTCGGTAAGATGCTGCTTCTACAGCAGATGGCATTGCAGACGCATTCTCAAATAGGGCCCGCTGTCAGAACCAGTTTTTCAGCATACTGCCGCTGACTGCTGGAAAGTCACGTTGCAAGAGGCAGGAAAACTAGCTTAGGAACACTGAGCTTCATTTGTGTCCTTTGCTTTGCACTCAAACTTTCCAATGAAGTGGCGTGCAAGCGCTGTCCAAGGACAAAGTTCATTGACATTGTCAGGCATACGATGTGAAAGCGCCACAAGTGCAACGGGTGAGGAAAGCGACTTCTGCCACCTGATTGCTTCTGGAGTGCAGCCAGACAAAGCCTCAGGCTGGGCCGCATTCTGGGGTGACCCATAACAAGGGCATCGGCCCATTCGACAGACCCCCTACCACCATTTAGGATGTTCGTCTGTAACAAGTTTCGTAGAGCTTTCCTCAACCAGATTCACCATTATGCACATTAGACCTGATTAAAGATTGGACTAGCAGCTCCAATTTTGTGCTGGTGGCTCCCGAATGACAGCGTCAGAATGGGTCTGGAAAAGTCTCAATACTCGAACGCCAGTGTGCAGATTAGTTGGCATGAAATTACTAACTCACATGGAAGCCACTTGCGTCAGGTTTCAAGAGCAAATGCTGCCTTGAAACAGGCACTCAGCTCATTATACATGCTGCCTGGAAGAAAGCAGGCACAAAAGCATCCGGCTCTCACTGCTGGCAATCCAGAGGTGATCGCAACTCGTATACCATCTCTTATTCAATTGGCATAGACCCACTGGCAGCCCATAAGCAACAGTAAAGACATACTCCACCAAGTCTCCTTGACCAGAATTGATCGGATATTAAGCTTGCTGGCTTACCATCAAAGACCCCAAAGAATCCGCACTGCTTTCCTCCTATCTGCGTGGTTGATGCGTGGTGAAAGTCCTCCATCGCCGCGCGCTTGCCCCGGAAAGAAGCAAAGCCATAGCTGAAGCTGCCGTCCTCGCTGCACAGAACAAAATTCAGTCTCAAGAACAGCTGCAAATTTAGAGGTTGAATCACAATGAGCAACTCCAAATGACCGACTCCATGTTCACTGATGAGAGGGGCTGCACAAAAAGCTTTAAGTCTTTAGAACAGCTCCAACTTTGAGACCAGGGATGAGAGACTCGAATGCATTGGCTTCAAGTCCTTTATGAGAACGGATATAGGGTTTTGTATTTAGTTGAGAGGCAACGACCATTCCCCATAAGGGGCCTTGTAAGACGATCCACTTTTTGCAATGCTCTCTTGCCGTTCAACAGTGGGGTAAAAGTAGATGGAAGGAGCTTGTGGCTATAAGTTTGATGTGTGCATGCTAGTCAGGACTTCTTGGGCAAACAACGATAGAATCGCTCTCATGCCTTGATGCCAAAGCCTCGGCCTAAGCCGTTAAACAAGCCTCCGCTGCTTGAGAATCTCACCTGGTCCCTCCACCCGCGACGGGTGCACCTTCCCTCTGTGCCATAAGCCGGGTGTCTGCCTTGTGAAACAAGTCCTTACACTACTTCCAGCTCCTAATGTTCAAACCTTTGTTATGCCCTCAATTTCCTTCCTCTTCAGGAGGACGTTCCTGGAAATCCACCAAGGACACGAGGCGTGTGCATGCACACGAAAGCTCGCCTATGCTACCCAGCTCAAGCAATCGCTCAACCTTCTTCAAACAAGCCCAAGCACAGCGCCCTTGAAACTACGAGTTACAGACTCAGGCGTTCAACTTCTCTCTGTGTGTGTATGCGAGCATTTGCTGCCCAGGGATTTCAAGTTGGCGCCCCTTTGGGAGCCACCTAAAAATGCCCCCTGTAGTGTAGACTGAAGACTGTCACCGGTGTAGACGCCAGCTGGGCCCAGCTGCAAATCACAAGTCAAACCGTGGTCAACAGATTATCTGACCCGATCGATCAGGAGATCCAAGCGGAATGGACCTACAACCGTCGGATAGGATCCATCGACGTTCGACTGGTAAGTGAGACGGTGTTGGAGGTGACGTCCTAGATCGCATGTGTGATTTTCTTATCGACGGTGTTGCGCAAATTTGAAGCAGCCGTACGTCGAGCAACTAGACCGGTCAGAACCATGCTAAGATGACAACTGAGCTTGCGAACGGTGGCGCTACTATTAAATTAAGCATCAGTGCAAACTTTAATGACCTTTCGAAATTCGAAGACGGTCGCTGTACGTACCAACATGCATGGGCATGGCCGCATGGCTGCACTTCTTTATGTTGTCAGTGAATCATCCCTCAAGCGAGGGACCCAGTGTAAGCAAACATCGTGCCCATCGTGCATACCGTACAAGTATGGCACATACATTGCTGTAACTATGTCTATGCGCATCTTGCCCGAGTGACCCACCAATCTATCTCCCTTTGAGAGTCACGTTTCATTAATGGCTTTCCAGTTTGCAAGGTGTACACATACACCTGACGACAAGGACAGCCTTTAAATGGCCATTTGGCGGTCGATAAAAGGATGCACATCTTCCATCAGCACATAGTGTTCTTGCTTCGGAGGGACAACAATTGTCAAAAGTCTAATGATTGTAAGTATTGAGAGGACACCTAGTTCGATCATTCAACGTTTACAATGGCATTGCATATTGTTCGTCGTCGATCAATCAATCTTTGCACGAGAGTAAAGAAGAGTGTCCTTCGTAAGTGGCATGCAGACAAGAGCCAATACCTGCAAGGACGACCAATGGACCAGCGTAAGCTTGCCACTTGGGTGTCTACGTTGGCACACGGTGACCATGAAAAGTCCACAGGCTGAAAGATACATATTCAAGCCATGTGGCCATCCCAGCGGAAGTCCTCCCGAAGCAGACGATCCTAGATGACCAAACTTGCTCACCGTCACAATCGTGAAGATGATGAGCAGAATGCCCACTCCCCACGCGACGCTCCTGTTGACGAGAACATACGCAGCAATGATGTCCGCTCCGGGCACTCCCGGCACCGCGCCTGCCCCCAGCAACTCCCTCCGCTTGGACGCTGCTCCTCCGATGCGTGCGGCAACCGTTGCAGTCCCGTCGTCGGAAACTTGGGGAACTTGCTCGAACACGCTGAGCAGCATAACCAGCTTGCCTGCAGAAGAATTATGGGCCCGACCCATGAAACTTTGTTAGAAGAAAGTGGGTCTCTTCAGCAGTGTGAAAGGAGCGAAGGGCCAGAAACGAAAGCCAAGGGCCGGATACGAGGTGCCGCATTTATCTTCATCCCGGTGTAGTCACAGCGGCCAGAGACTTGCAAACTCAGAAACGGGATAGAGCGAAAGTGTGCATTGTATTCAAGCCAGAAAGCGAATGCTGGGCATGAAGGCAGGCCCGACTTGCGTTTTGGAGGCACGAACAATGGTTTACCGGTCATCAAGCAAGGCCAGGCTTGCGCTCACCCCCAAACGTTGTGTCGAGCGACTCGAGGACGCGCTCCAGTGTCTTCAGTACCAGCGACACGGCAGCCGACGCTGTCTTCGACTCCGACCCATACGTCAGCTTGACGAGCTGCGGCCGGAACACCATAATGAGCTCACTCTCACATGAGATGTTTCTCGTAACGAGACCAATGTGATCAAGGCGTTCACTTCGGACTAGGCTTATCAAGTCTTTTGGGTCTTCTGGGTCTTTTCAGGGCTTTACAAAGCCAGGGAATTGAGCACAACGTGCGATAAGCATGAACGAACCATTCGTGCCATCTGGCCTGTCAGCCAGTACCTCTTTAAGGTACACCTGCAGTGCGACTAGCAACATGTGCATGGAAAGAGCAAAACCGTGCCGCACTTGGATACCCTGGACCGTGGCAGTCAGCAATTGCCGCTTGTCGGCAGCTACTGCCAGCATTTGGACCGCCTTCTCAAGGTGCGCCAACTCCGTCGCCAAAAGGTAATCCGCATCCTACATGGATTGCACAGAAGCGCAACTCTCAGCTGATCGTCAGGTCAGCGGTGCGTCAGAGCATACGAAGCTCGAAACAGTGGTTTAGTACCTTCTTCCACATGAATCCTGGTGTCCCTTCACCTGTTCTGATGAGCAAAAGTCAAGGTTCGAACAGCACATCTAGTTAATGGGGCCGGACGAGGAGGACCATGTGGGCTTTGAAGGGCGAATCTGCTATGTGCGCAAGCCAAAGGACGCCATGGAACGCCATGTCAGCACTACTTCTGCAATTGCGCAGGACTCCCACCTGCGTCAGGTCAAGGTGTGCTGACTCCCCATCCGCCAGGGGCACTGTCAGTTTCCCTGATGCGGGAACCGAGCCGCGCACATATGATGCTCCGGAAGCTGCCGCCTGTTCCGGACAACAATAAGGAAACGATGTCAGGCACCACTTATTGGTTTATGATTTGGCAACAACGCTCCTTTGGCTTTACAACAACGCAGCGAGCGATGTTCCAGACATGACACTTCTTCAGATAGAAGTCCAGACATTACAATTGTCGACTTCCAGAACAATTGTTTTAACAACAAGAATAGCAGGCTACCATTAGTCTACATCCGACAACGCTCCAGGAGAACCCCACAGAGCATAGAAGACTGGGTGCACAGATGCCCTAGGGTGAAGGAACAGACGTTCGGAGGTCAAGGCTCTCTTCGCTCACCAGACTCTCAAGAGCCTCATCCAGCGTCGCAGCATCCAGCGCAGAGCCCTTGCCAAAGTCCAGGACAAGCTCCTGTGCCAGTTCAGGCGATGCCCCAGTGAGGCGGCTGAAGGCCTGGCCCAGCTGCAGCGCCGAGGAGTTGGCCAGGAAGCGGGTCTGGCCTGGCCGCTCCCAAGCCTCAAGTGCAGTCAGCTCGTCTGCAGTGGGGAAGGAGACCGTCAGCACTTGAACCTAGTACACAGTGCACATACGCTGTGATACTTGTGTAAGAGATTGGTGAAAGTCTTGCAGTAAGGCCGCATGCACTGCTTCACCAGAGCTTGCGCCAACCTCAGGTGTTTGCTTCGAGCTTGGGTACTGGGAGACAAGAGGGATGTTGACTTCTCACCAACACTCATCGAGCCAACAAGAAAGCTTCAAATCTTCAACTAAAAAATGTATGCTTTTGCTTTCAAATGAAACACAAACCCGAATTTATCAATATGTGTCTCAAAACAGCTACAACAATCGAAATGATATCTGACGCGAGGAGAGAGACTGACGAACATACCTCTGTTTGCGCCGAGCAGGGAGATTGCCAACACCGCTTGCGGCCGGCTGAAAGCATCATCACTCAACATTGTGTTCAGCTGCAGAGGGGACAAAAAGATTGTAGTAAACCCAAATGCTGCCCAGTTCGCATGAGACCGCTGATCTTCATGGAGCAAGTGACAGCAAATGTAGCCTGATAGGATCCAAGTCTTCAATTGCTGCAAGCTGGCCTGTCACTTCTGTTGGGGGCAGGCGTACAGGAAGGCGCTTCTTAAACATCAAATCCTTTGAAGTGTACAAATCACAACGCTGTATGTTTTACTGAAGGAAAAGTCAAAGCAGAAAATCAGCTGAGGCATACCTTCTTGCTTATGTCAGCGTCCACACTGCCAAGGGGTCGAAGCCCCAAAAGCGCTGCGGTTGCAGCTGTGACATCATGTGCGCTGATGGCTGAGACCTTCAGAAGAGTTTTCGAACAAGGATATCAGAAATTCGATCCACATCTTGAGACGACGCAAGCTGCCCAAGCACGGCATAGCCAATGGCAAGCAGGTAGTGATTTGAAAGTGCAGGAAAGATAACAGCCAACAAATCCAATCAAGGTAGTAAAGCAAGGAAGAGCAGTGCGAATCAGCAGCGAGATTGCACCAAGAAGAGCTGCTCAAAGTGCAATCACTGGGGCACGAGTGAAAAGATAGAACCAAAAATTAATGCTCTGCAATTCTGGATCAGACTTACTTCTGCGCTATGCTTTAGAAACGTCCTACGACTGCTGTCCACAATACGGATAAGATCCCCGGCTGCAAGCTGCATTGATCCCAAGAAGACCAGACATAGAAGCACCAAGCTCCTCCCCACAGAATCCATGGCGCCGGCGCCCCTTTCGCTGCAGCCCTTGTACGTGCAATTAGTCGATTGTGATTCTGAATCTGATCTGTAATTCACCATGCACATGAGACGATCATGTCTGCGCTTGCGCGCGCGAGATCGCGGTCGCGCGCGTACCGTACCTACAGTGTTCCGACAGTCACGGTGGGGTGCTTGATGGAGCCCCCGGGGGCCGCCAGGTGGAGAGCCGGGGGGCTCGGGGGGGCGGCAGCCCCCCCGCTTTGAATGTTGAGGATCGCCGGCGGCGGACTGAACCGGGCACGGCTCCTAGTATGCTAATACATAATTGTAAAAGTCCCGCAGCTGGCACTCCCGGGTAATCGTGCCCGAGCGGTTAAGGGGCTAGACTAGAAATCTAGTAGGCTCTGCCTGCGCAGGTTCGAATCCTGCCGATTACGCGTATTTTTTTTCCCCCTCCCCCTTCTTCTTCTTCTTTTGACGAGGTTTTTGGGTGTGGGAAACAGCATCGACCTTCTGAAAGCTGAGCCGCTGGCAAACGATGTAATATACTATTATTAAATATACCGAAAATGGCGCTCGCTGTTCTGCCAAACCAACGTTCTAGCAAGAATCATTGTTCTAGCATGACCATTTACAAGATAGGACGGTAGCGTATTAGATTCAGAATTTAGATGTTAATATTGTTTGGATATGTTCTAGCAATGCGAGTGTCTGGGAAACTCACAACGCATTCATTAGCAATCCTGAGTAGAAACGGAGCCATGTTCTAGCAAAAGGATCGTCATGTTCTAGCAAACAGAGCTGCAGAGCCGCAGCAGAAAATCGGGTAGTGTTAGTTGGGTCGAAACGCTGTAGCAAACACGACATTCAGTAAGACAACGTTAGAGCAGACGTTGCAGTGCGCATCGGTGTTGTTTTCTCTGACACATTTTGCATGTGCTAGAATATTACTAGCCACTAGTGCAGTCTTTGCTAGAACAATTACTGCCCCGTTGACTGAAGATTTCAACAGTTCAATCGTCTTGGTCGTCATCCGAACCTGCACATGGTATTTCGAGCATTGACAAGGGTGCACATCTGCATCGAAGCTTCGTGGCATCGAGGAAGAGTTCTGCTAAAGAATAACTTCTTCTGATATTCGCACCGATCGAGGCTCTGAGATATGCGAAGACCCCTCGAAGATTTCAGAGAGTGGCGGTGATTCAGGGGCTTTCCTGATACTCTTGACAAGTCGCGCAAGAAAGAAAGTGCAGCGTCTAGTCCACCTCAGAACCAAGCGGTGAGTCCTGGAACAAACTCTTCAACCACTTCTTAATCAACAGAGGCCGCATCTCCACTGTCCAGGTTGCTCAGAACGGGCTCTTGAGTGTGCAATTGGATCTGGCCAGAACAAGCTCTCCCATCCTTCCACTCTCCTTAAATGTGCACAGGCTGGAATTCGTCATGCTCAAGGAACAGGTCAGATCATCATTGATCAGAGCTTACTCTCCGCCCCACTGCACGAGTCCGCACATAACCATCATGAACCACAAAATGAAGTCATGAAGCTCACATCAGTCTTGGAGGAGAGTGGCTGTGTACTAAGGTACCGGCGTTATCATATAAGGAATCAACAGATCCAGACCGGAAACCGCTCGCGGATGATAGACAGTGAGCACGGACAGTGAGCACGAACACCGAAAGTCTCTAGTCGATGATCGACCTCTCGTAATGCCGCCTGAAAGCTAAACTTGGAGAGCAAGATCTGACCATTGGTTCCTCCTTTGACGCAGATTAGTCTTTCGCAGGCTCTCGCCAATCTCGAGCTACATTGGAACTGGTCTCTGATCCGAGCATGGAGAGCCGTCTGCAAGGGCTGCCCTCTGAGATCCTCACGCGACTTCTCGAGATCCCAGGTACTCGTAAGCTGTCCCTGTGCAGTAAGGCGTTCTACAAGCTGGCCGAGAAGACGGCAAATCAGCAGGCCTCTCCAAGTCCGCTTCCCGATCTTCATCCAGGGCCCGCAGGCTTGTATCCAGACAGGATAGGATGATTGACACAAGTTGTCTCACCGAGCATGCCCCATCAACCGGCCACAGGCGTCGCTGTCACCTGTGCAGATGTATGTTTGTGCGCCCCTCTCCAACTCTTAAGCTGATGCCTGATGAGAGATGCATGCGTCCCTCTGCGCAACGGGTTCACGTGTATGCTGTTTCAGTCTGATGAATTGAGAGTCCGGGTGGATCGCACCCACAGTCGTAGCTCACCTTCTCTCGATGTATGCATCAGGCGAGACAACGGCACGTGCATATTCTGGGCAAACCCTGCACGTCAAGGTAAGCTGCTCTAGCTTCTCTTCGTCGTTGTCACTAGAGTCTACAATCCAGATATTGCAAGGAAGATTGTCCTCCAGAAGCTCCTTCAAACAGTGGCTAACGCTGGTCAAGCTTTATCCCAACCAGAGTCACTAGCACTGTCCTACCGTTTTGCAGACCCCACGCCAAGAGAAGGTCCCACCTCCCGAGATGAAGCAGAACGCAGCAGTTGAAGCAGTGGACTGCACATGAGCCTTCTCATACCAATTCACTCGCTGCATATTCTGGGACAAGAATGAGGACTGTATGCATTTACATGCTGGACCCCCATCCAGTCCAATCGAAATCATCCCAACCGTTCCATCGTTCCTGGCGCTCAAGACGAAAAGCATTCAAGAAACAGCGGAAGGCCTGTGGTGGAGCGCCACGTTCTTGGCCAGATTTTTCTCACAATTGTTTCGTCAATTCCACGTTCTCAGGCTCATTTGTCTATCTGTGCAGGAAGTGTCGAGGAGGACCGCGAAAGTTCCGCGGAAGATCCCGAAGAGGTGGCAGTCCCCCGAACTTTTACTCGTTCAGCAGCGCAGTTGCTGATTCTGCAACGCGTTTACAGAGCCACAACAATATCGAAGAGCGACCCCTGCCAAAGTGCCAATCTGGAAATTAGGGCATTCATATTGACGCATTCGTCCACCAGCTTCTCGTAATGCATCCAGGGGGTTGTGCGAATGCTTCCAAGCCATGGGAAGGCCCTTTTCAACAAGTGTCTTTACCGATGCAGATGGCGCTCTTTAGAGTGCGGGGCGGAAAGATGGTTGCAAGCCGCGAGGGCCTCTGCTTCGTGCCGGTGAGGCTTTTATTTCTACTGGCTAGAAGTCCTTGATCAAAGTCCGGTACAGAAGCTACATCGTGCACGGTATTCTTGCAACCAGAGTTGCGCTCGGTCACGCTTCCACGATGAAACCCCAATGCGTTGGCTTCGGCCTTGCATATGTTCTTCAAGCCGGATTCAATGCACTTCTGCCACGTGGCTTCCATGTTTTCTCTCACGTCCTGGATGAGTACATATCGTTCTGCCGGCGCCTGCCTGCTCACTTCGTTGATAGCGTCATCATTGTGGCTCGCAGAACGACGGCTCAAGGCGCGCGCTTCACGTCGCTGAACCCTACTTCGTTCAACCTACACTAGCGTGGGTGTGTGATCTCTGGGACGCAGAGTCCGAAGAAGAGGATAATTTCTGAGGAAAATGATAGCTGGCGGCTAGCATGACATATGCCTTATACATTCAAACCTTGAGAGTGCCTGTCTGCTTTGTACTGCAGTCATTTCAGTACCATGAAAACTCCTGTTAAAACCGAGCACCCGCTCTTGTCTTGAAGGTGATTGGGGCATGACACATTGCACGTGAATCTGGATTCGGCCGGATTGACAGCCATCTGCACATTTCAAGATCAAATCACGCAACATTTCAGAATGCTTCTATGTGAAGCGTACGAAATATTCAAGAAGGCCGGAGCGACTTGAGTCGCGTCTTGAAGAGTTCCAGCATTTGCGACCTTAGACTGCAAGTGCTGTGTGCTGGTTTCAATTACCACGAACGATTGCGGAAAGTTCATGAAACCGATCAAGGTCAATTTTTGGCTCGCGTGATAACAAACCCCGCATGCTCACTCAATTCATTGAAATAGCTCTTTAAGTATCAATGAAAGTTTGTAGCCACCATAGTTATTCGTCTGCGTGCGGCTCGGGATGTTACTACAAAGACGACTTTAGCCTGGCTCTTGATGTGAGGAGCATATGGGTACCTCTTTTAGATTAATCGGCTGCGCCGGCCGCTTGTAAGAACTGCAGCTTACAATGTCAGTATACCTCGGCTCGGCCGCAAGAGCCAAACGGGTTTTATGCTGTATGCTGGACCTCCAGCGGACAGGCCCTAGCTGATTCGAGGTCGGAAAGCTTCAACGAATATCACTGTAATCTGTCTGCGAGTCGTTTGAGAGCCGAACGGACGCCGAACTTTGGGCACAATTCAGGACGGTTCACTGGAGGCCGGGTACATATGAACACTTGGCGGTCAAGGACTGGCATTCCAGTGCGTCGAGAGACCACCGTATACTTGAAGCCTCTTCATAAACTGTTGCGTCATTCTTTCTGCAAAGCGCCGTGACAACGGTTTGATTCCACAAAGTCGGATCTCGAAGACGTCTGCTTCTGAGATCCTGAGTAAAACCTTTGAGTCTGAGCTTTCTGTTCTAGATTGACCAGGCGAATGACATTGTGTGCATCTATTACGAACGGTGAGTCGCTAACCTGAAAATTTACATGTTTGGAGGCGTCTCACGTCTCACTGGCAAGAGCAGGTCATGCTATTGAACGTTTGGAAAAGCTTTTCTTCGAGGTCTTGCAAGTAAATTTGCCACTTTGAAATTCCGTTGGGAAATATCTCTTCGTTATATGGTCGTTCAGATTTCAGTTGCACACTTTGGCTTTCTAAGTTCAGATCACGCTTCAAGAGCTGCAGATGCCGTTCATGACTCTGTTCGTGAGGTATTGCGACGAGCAGCGAGATGACTGCTCTGCTGGAGCGTCCGTCTTCATGCTTGTATTCATTGCCATCTAATTGAAGCAGTATGGGGATTAAACCTAGCACGAGCGTCCAAGATAACAGTTCGCATGTTCAAGGATGAACCGTCTGTAATGCTGACGTGCTTCATTCCTCTCCGCTCAGAGAACTTGCGATGACCTCGACCGACAAGGACAGGAGCACTTCTACCGGCCTTTTTACGCCGAACACAAACCACTACAACTCTGCGAATTCCACCGGGTATGGCGAGAACAGGGTGGATCAGTTGTTCATTGCTCAAGACCACCTGCGAGTTGGAGTCAAAGAGCTGAGCACCTTCGATTTCCCCTGAATTTGCTACGTCTTTGAAAGATAGGGCGCCTGGTTGCTGCTTCCATGCACAGGTCTGTTCATCAGAGCAGACACGTAGTGCCTTTTAAGCACTAACTATGTGACCTTCGAGTGCAGGAGGCTTCTTGACGCGCTGCACAAGCAGAATGGAGTGGTGAGCACTCGCTTTGAGTCATAAAGGACCTCCTTTGAGCTGACTGAGTGCCAGACTCTGATTATGGATGCTGTTTACATAAAGGTGCATCTTCAAAGGGTTAGCTGGTGAGCAGACAGAGACATAATCGTTCTGTGATTAACCGCAAAAATACCTAGCCCTTTCTTCTCCACTGCGACCGCAGGACGCCGGAGTGGCGTCTTCTGGACGGCTGAAAAAGTAAGTACCAATTTCAAGCATCTGCGGAAGGAATAGGTCGTGCAGTTCTCTAATTCTGTAAGATGTTCACGATTGACACACTCTTCTGCGCGTTGGCCCCAGTTGGAATACAGTCTTGGGAGATACCTCTTTGTTGCATGAGCGTGGATAATTTGCTTGCACGCTTACAAGTTGACTTTCGCTTCAAGAGTTTCGGGTTTCCGATGTAAAATGTAGAGGAGTCCGTCAGTTTGAATGTTCCGCTACATCATTCGACGTTATAGGCTTCCTTAATTTATCGCCGTCTAACTGGAGCAGGTTGTTGATCGACCTTGACAGAGCGGGCTATACGACGGTCTGCATTTTCAGCGACGATTAATTTGCAATTCTGACATGCTTCGTTCATTTCTGCTTGCAGAGTTCTCATGATGACTGCTTCCGATGAGCTTAGGAGCCCTGCTGACGGCCCTTTGGCCCACGACTGCAGCAGGCGCGGCGAGAGCACTGTGGATCAGTTGCCTGTCGCTCAAAATCATGTGTAAGTGGGGAGTCCAATAGCTGAGCACCTCTGTTTTTCCTGCCAAACGCGCTAAGTCTCTTGACGATAAGGCGCCTAGAAGTTTGTTTCCTCAGAATCCTTCAACAAAGCAGACATACGTGCCTCTGTTCCTTGAGACGTATGGATTTTGATTGCAGGAACCTTTCTGTCGCGCCAGAGGAGCAGGCTCAAAGGGTGAGCACTCTCACTACGCCAGATAGGAGCTTCGCCGATCTGTCTGTGTTCCAACCTCCGTTCGAAGAAGTTTTCACGGTTCAAGCGCACATCTGAAACGAGTTCGTTATAGAGCCGACAGGGATGTATATGACCTTGATCAGACGCAAAAATCTCAGGCCCTTCGCATCTACTACGAGCGCAGGACGCCGGGGCTGCGTCGTCCGGACTCGGACCGCTGAGAGCGTAAGTCCATTCTTGCCCGTCTTTCTGAAAGGCCCGACTCTCGGGGATCGGTTTCCGTGATGGCAGGCCTTCAGCACCTTGGACCGCGAACTTAACGTGTTCATTCACTCTTCGAGTGCTTATTGATGTGATGTGCTTACTGAACATGTGGAAGGCGCCTCGTTTAAAAAATCTGCAGCGGGACGCCCTCCACGTCCGCGGCCGGAGGGCAGGCCGTTTCGCGAGGACGAGGTAGGGCTGGACCCTGCGCATCCTTGAATAAGACCAGAGAGACCTTCCTTTTAGCGGAGCGATTGCGCGTCTTAAAACGAAATCAGTCCTGTAGAAGAAATCGACGGAGTGGTGAGGGTCCATTCTTCCTCGAAACCACTTGATTCAATCGTGAGTCGAGAATGACGCCTGATTTTTATTGTGTCATCTTCTTCTAACCAGGACGAGCGCGGCGGGCACCGCCAGAAGTATAAGAAACCGAGGTGAGTAGCAGGACGCCTAACGGGCAGGTCGCACACTGTGCACGTGATTAATTTGTTTTTGTACCGGTGCTCGAAATTGTAGCAGTTCGGCCCGGTCTTGTGCTCAGCACCTTGTTGTGTACCGGCGTTACTCGGATCTTGGTCTATTCCGCCCGCTCGCGGTTCAACATGTATTGCTCCGTCCTTTGCAGGGCGGAGAAGCACACCCGCAGAAACTCCAAGCTGGTAATACGAATGCGCTGACCTTGGTTGGAGAACCAAGCGCAAGGCTTTGAAAATGATTGCTCGAGGACTTTCGGTCCAGATGCGAGCAGATCTAAGGATAGAAAACCAGAGAATGGACTCCACGTTGTCAGTACTGATTGCAGGACGTCAGCGTTGAGAAGGAGAACAGTGACCAGCGGCCGCGATTGTACAACGATGCGCTGCTCGAAGTCGAGGTGAGTGGATAGTGCGGACATTCCAGATGATTAGTTGTGATGTTCGAACCGGCTCTGTTTCCTGTCTCCGTGCAATCGTTCCACTCCGGAAACCGTCCTGATCAGTACTCAGCAGTCCCTATAGCCGGTTGTCAGCAAGTGCGCCGGGTCATACACTAGTGGCAGTGATCATCGGATATTGAATCACAGCGGAGTTGCTCGCATGAGGCCTCTTGAGCCTGTTTGACCCGTTCTCTCGTCCTTGGTCCAAAGCAGCGCATCCTTGCCATGGTATCGGCCCGGCTGGCCACGATGAAAGCGGGGACTGATGTGGCAAGTGAGCTGCAGGAGCTGCGGGCCGACGTGCCTGTGCGTCACGACTTCGTGCAAAGGCGTGCGCATCTGATTGAGGTAATTCCCGCTCAGTATGGATGCCCCGCCCCCTCTACCTACCGGGAGTAGTGATTCCGGTGAATGCATATTGCGTCCATCTTTGCGTCTCTCCCCCGCAGAATCGGCTTGTGTAAGTATTTTATCCCACTTGTTCGCCAGTCAAGACGATTTTATTTGAGTTTCTCAGAGCAGCTTAACGATGTCATGCCTCGGCGTCTGCGGATGCAGGAGTTAAATCGAGCCATCGCAAAGATGAGTGAGCAGTGAAGATCGCGGGAGCTTCGCGGATGGACTCTTTAGGCTGTCCCCAAGAAGTGGCGCTTCGGCAAGACTAAGTTACACTTGGTTAGTTCCCAAATTAGTTAACGAACAGTGAACAAGCATTACAACTGATTATATATTCAAGCGTGGCATGCCGCGAGTTGAACAGGTCGAATGCAGGGCACGTACGTCGAAGTAATCGCGTGTGTAATTTCGGCGCGCATGGTGAACGTCCCTCTCATATATATATATACCTTACAGTATAATCCTTGAGTGTACTAAGCAATACCAGCCTGTACCGTGAAACGTGTCGCAGCAATGATGCATGTTTGAGACGGTCCGATATCTCGTGCTGCCATGTAAGCTTTCAATTCTCCTGTACTTGCACCCGGCGTGCCGATCGCACATGTGGTCATGTCGACATCATCGTCATATGGACTTTCGATTGTTTTGAGTGTAATACATTCTCAAACAAAGTAAGAATCACTGGTGGAGCTAAGAACGAGTGCACCGCGACACGCCACCCAATCGATTCCGCGCAAGCAGTTGAGTAAATGCGCGGCAGACGCGCGCCGGGTTGGGGCACTTGCGCCGCCGCAGGGACTATGGAATGAAACTTCGAACCCATTCACGGTTTAAAGCAGCACAACGCTTTGTCATGCGTGTTTTAGGCTAGTTTAAGCCGCTGTCCATTACGAAATTCGGCGACAGGATTCTCGTCTCCTGGCCAAGAGGTTTTAAAGGAACCAAGTCGAATACTTCGGCTAGCGGGACTATACGCTCTAGTATTTCGTATCCGCCATGCCAGATTCTGCTATGCAGGGGATTTAATGCATAAATGCGACCCACGAACAGCACCTGGCTCATGCAGGTCCTCCGGTACCGGCCCCAGCACCTGTAGATAGATATACCAAGTTAGGCCTGCGATCTTCGGGTCTCCACTCATAATCTTGCAACTGCCAGGCTGCTCCTATATCTCTTTACTGTTCAGACACGGCTCGAAAGTCGGACTCCGTATTGCCTAAGTTGTCGAAAATACCAGCGCCCTTCCCTTGTCCCCGATGTGCTTGGGAAAAGAAAGTAGGTGTAAGGCGGCCATCACATTGACACTCTGGCTTCTCGTCGTGGCCTTAGGGAAAGTCAAAGTCGAGGCAACTGCAATTTTTTCGATAGCGCTTACTTCCGATTATCTGATCGTACTCCTACATAAGAAGTTGCTATAATAGAATAGGGAGTTGGCATCCCTATAGCATGTGTAAGTGGTACATGAGATCTGTTTTACATGCTGAACCAAAATGAGATGTGTGATTACCTCTCTTCTGAACGCGGCTGTCAGGCTCAACAGAATTCTCGAATCAGTCTGTCCCTGCTTACTCTAATTACTTTTCCTTCAGGCCTGGCTGCGGCCCTGGTGGCTGACCAGTTTGAGTGGTGGATTGACCCCACTGGCGCCATCCTTTTGGCGCTGTACACTATCGTCAACTGGTCCGGCACCGTGAGAGAAAATGTACAATCGCTTGTGGGCCAGAGCGCACCCCCGGAGTTCCTTGCTAAGATCACCTACCTCTGTTGGAATCACCATCGGGACATTCTCCAGGTATCGTAACAAGCGTGCTTTCAGGTTGGAATGTGCGTCTTCGAAAGGGAGTGTGGATCCGCAAGGGTGGCCACGTAGAGTGGAAATCAGGGAGAAAAAAGCAGCCTCTGGAATGCGCCTGTTTGAAACGTTGGTGGACTGGTTCTGGTTTCTGAGAGCCAGTGTGTTAAGAAATTGTAGCGGAATCCGAAGGTGCTTGCAGCATACAATTGTCATTGGCAATATCTGGAGTAGACAACTTCGATCTGAGTTTTTGTCTGAAGCGTTGCGACAGTGAAACGCACAGATGGAAAGAGAACCGCACCGAAACGATTGTGAACCGGCAGTTCTCGGACCATTGACTTTTCGCCAACCTTGACCATTGGTCCGACATAGGGATGGGTTCTCCTCATTGCAGATTGATACCGTTCGCGCCTACGTTTTTGGGAGCCACATGTTTTCGGAGGTCGACATCGTCCTGCCTGGAGACATGCCGCTCAGGGAGGCTCACGATATTGGGGAGTGTGAGTCACAACCCAAAGTTCGGCGTCAAAAGCATAGATTCTTGGGAAGAGTCTCCTCAAACATTCGAGAGGCTGCAACTCGGTGCAGTAGGTGGAGACGCTGCAGTCATGTTCATTGACCGTGAAGTCGGATACATCGTCGTTATTTGACTGGTCAGCAGTTCATCTTGTCTGGTGGTACAACCTCGTCAACAAAAGCCTGGGTGCTTATGTCACCTGAATATGCTCGGTTTCGTGGCTTACGCCCAGTTCTGTCGTTGATACAGCTCTTCAGAACAAGCTAGAGCGCCTGCCAGAGATCGAACGGTAAGCTTCTCTTGCTTTGCGAAGCCGTTTTGCAACCTTTTGGTTTTGTTCGATGAAACGTTATGTAGGTCTCGTCGTTATATGACAGAGCTGAAGCCATCAACCGGATGCCTTCCAGAAGAGTCAATTGGTTCTGATAGAAAATAGGCATGTTGACTTTATCGAAGCCGCTGAAGAGCTTGGGGATTTGTGCATTTGCAGGGCTTTCGTCCACCTTGACTTTGAAGTCAGCCACAAGCCGGAGCACAACCCGAGTCTAGTCCCACCCACCCCTGGAAGAACCCAAGCCGAGGCTCAGTCTGCTCCGGGTGCCGAACTTGTTTAGAGGCTCATTATTGGGCGGCTGAATTCCTAAGCGGCTGCGAAGTCGCTTTTTGTGTGTGACAAGGTCGCAACCTTACTGCTGAGTTTGTGGAGGTATATGTTAACCCGAATCTTGCAGAATACAGAGATGGGTTAGCGCACGGTTAGCGCAGGCATGTACAGCGCGGAGGTGTCCACATTATTGTAGCTTTGAGCTAACCCAATAGCCAGTGCCGCTCGCTTAAGCCTTTGCGTAGTTAGAGTAGCCAGTGCAGAAGCTCTCGGTTGAGTAGTCAGACAACATGTTTGACAGTGCTGACATGGGCAGACCTTGACCCAATTCGTCACGCTTTCATTCCAGAGACAGTCACTGTCACGACAGTGTATGGACAGACTATCATTTGCCAGAGAGTCGACTTAGACGTGGAAACCTCACTTTGGGCCGCCCCAAAACGGTGTTCATATGTCATGTGCATTGTGGAATGATGCCGCGGCAGCAGGCGGCCTTGCATCGGCCGGCTGCTTATTCTGTATTGGAGCTATATGGTTAGCATGCATGTCGACACATGCATGCAGGCTATATCTCAATTTGTTGATTGCCTGATTACATGGTATATCAAATTCTTCGTCTGAGGATCCACTATTGTAGTGATCTGCGACATGGTAATGTGACCACATGATCGGCTATACTAACCATGATCGATGCGACCATGCATAGTTGTAAGCACTGAGCTTGCTATGAGTCGTGTCAAACCACGCGTCCAACTGTGAATCTATTATATATACCGCCATGCACCGCGAGGCGCGATGGTCGGAATTAATGTCAGACCTTCCTTGTTATATAGCCAGTACTTCAAGTCGGTTAGTTTGCATGTGTCCGCACACGTTGGCGGCCTTATTATTGCTCCGGAATGCACTGAAACCTTCTAGCATGGAACGGTCTCATGGGCGCCCTGCTCAGCTCTTTGGTGCCTCTTAAGTTTAATTGCTGGTAATGGATCCGATCAATGCAAGGCCGCTACATGTTGCACGAAGATTACAACGACTCCAATTCCGTTTCGCATGCAGTCTGTGTCGGCTTCAGTGACTGACTTCGATGCGAATACATGTGCAGACCCACGATGATACGTAAGTGATCTCTCAAGGAGCCAATGCTTCCAGGTATCGGTATGATCATTGATAAAGGGGAGGAAGAAGTGCATAAATATCAGTATCTAGCAAGTCTGGCGACCTGCATCCAGAACAACACAGAAACTCAGAAGGGTCACAACAACGATCCGCAAGTGGTTCTACGCCAAATACCCGCATAAGTTCTTGTACGTAGGCTGTATAGCTGACAGATAGGGGAAGTTACGGCAATATCAATCCGCCTACTCCGGCAAGACTGAACAGCAGTAAAAGACAAATCGATACATTGCAAACATGCCATGGGATTTGATGTAATCTCATGGTCTCGAGATAGCCGTCGATTTAAGGTGTTTTATTCTGCCGTTCTGTCCTCAATCATTGAATGTGATCATGTTCATGTCAAAGACATGCACATCATTAGAGAAAGTGCTGCGGAAAGGAATTGGTGGTTTCAATGGCATAGATGCAGAAGTTGACAGCCCTGCCGTGTGTGCCTACTGCATGCATGTGCAATCCCTGCTCATACATACACACATATAAACAGCTTGACATCCGATCAAATAGATGCATTCATGATTTTGATGCGATCTGTCCCGGCCAGAAATTGTATGTACGTACGTGCTTGAACTTTGCCCATAATCGAAATTTTTTACAGAATCAATCAATATAGGGGCCCTCGCACTAAACGAAAGGCGCGGCCGCACCGCAACAGTTAGACCCCGATGGAACATGAGGCGTATGGAACCAACGTTACGAGTCGAGTTTGAATAAGGTACAGGCCGGGGCCAAATTATTGCCCCGTTACTGGGTACCTTGTTGACAAACCGGCATGGATGTTGCACGCGAACTGGCCTGCATGTCTTCAAATAACACAACACGTCATAGTAGCATCCTCGGTTACCTCCTTGTATAGCCCTCACCTTTATTGGTTGCAGCGCCATCCCATGTTCAGCAACAATCTGTCAGTGAGACTGTGTCGTTGGCTCCATACCCGAAGTCGGCTATTCAATTATCTAAGCCGAGAGCTCGCGATGCGTGAGCATACAAGTTCGGATCTGCTTACGGCCTTGCAAAACAGAGCGCAGCAGCACTTCTTGTAGATGGCATGATCAGAACCTAAAGTTTGCAGCTAGGTTAGAGAATATTTTACACTGGTATAATGATCGTTTCTGTCTCTGAAGTATATTTACACCTTGCGGAACGGCGTTGTGAACTTTCTCCGCTTTCGTGGAGGGGAGGATGGCCTCGACTCAACTAGAGGAGCGTTAATGCCTGCAAATCAGGTTATGCCTGCTTAGAATTCCGGCCGTTAGGGCCTTTTTGAGGATCATGCACACCTGTTTGAAATTCCTGGTTCAGCAGGCGTCGAGCGGCTTCATCTTTCCACTAACTTCTGAATTTGGTTGTCGATCACTACTACGTGCTCTGAGGACAAGCCTGGGATCGGCCTGTCAAACAGCGACCTCTTTACAGAGTCACCGTGATAATGGACATTCGGCCGTTCGCGAGTGCCCACCGAAGTGGTGTGATAAGGGAAATGGACTTCTTGGAGCAGTTCATGAGCACGAAACACAATGCTAGAGATGCATCATGCAAGCGCTTGTTAGCGGGACCCTCAGGTTCTCATAACGACTTTAGCAAATAAGAGCGTATCAGAGCAGTGCGTGCTTACCATGGCCCAGAATCGGTTTGGAGCTTGACATGGTTCCTCGTGTAGTCGCGGCTGAGTCCGTGGGTCTTGCAACGCAGATGCTGTTTGGCTGCTGCTGCAGCGGCCGCTGATGGACTAGGGTCGACGAGGCATTGGCGGAATCATGTTGACCATGTTGACCTGCACGAACTTTCGGGTCGTTAAAGTCCGCCCATCGCTGCATCATCATCCTTCTAATGCACTTTTGCCAAGCCATTTGTTGGAAGGCTCAACAGGCAAACGGCATCAAGAAGAAGAATCATAACAAAACATCAATGAGGTGGACGGGTGAAATTTTTGCCAATTCTGCACTTATTGCGGACAAAGCAGACCGTGAGTCCGCTTAACCCGCCCTGAAAGAGATAGCGGGAATGTTCGTTCTTGAAGCAGTGCCTTAGGGGGCGGGGGGGAGAGGGAGAATGGACATGTGATGAAGGCTGGACGCTTTTCGCACATACCCGCTCGAGCATCTCCGCCGTCGGCCGGGACAGGAACAACACGACGGCGGCTCGGGGAGAGCGTGACAACTGAAGAGTTGACGCAACCTTACAAAGAGAAAGAAAGTTTTGTCATGTAGCGAACAATTACGAGAAACCCCGCCTGTTGTGTCAGGCGGGGAGCATTATGTCGATGATCAACGTGATGATAGTGAGAGCTGCCGGAGACTCTTCTTCACCACAGGCCAGCAGCTTTGAACACGCGAAGCTCGACGGCAAGCTGGAGCATTATGGGGTAAAAAGTACCAAAAATCTCGAACTCTGATTCAAACCCCACTGTTGCTAGAGGAACTTGATGCCAGGACGTCGTACCTTCAGGAACAGAAGGAGCGGCGGGGTCTGCGTGCCCAACGAGGGAGAAGACGAGAGCGCGCAGCTCGCGCCGCTTGTCAACAGCCACCGACGGATCGTACAAATCGAGTCCGTCGAGGTCAATACGCAACTGCAAATTGGAAGTTCACGATGGAGACTTGTGCTGGTTTGCGACGGAAAGAGAGACAGATTTGCAAAGAGGGAATATGCAAAAATAGAGCTCGAGGAGCGCCGGATGCACGAAAGGACTTTGGATCCTTTGAGACGCTTCCAAGCAGAAAGAACAGCCTTCTTTCGGTGCGTACTGATAACCATGATCCTACAGTGGTGAGAGGGACCAGCGGAGATGATCGATGTAGCAAGTCGCGATGCTCTTGGTGATGCCGTCGGCTTACCTTCTCTATGAGAGAACGATTCCGCAGAAGAGTCTCCATGTTCTGCAACACGAAAAGCGCGCAGTCCGAGGAGTTCGGCTGGCGCGGTACCTGCAGAATCATACGGTCCATGTTCTTAAGACTTGTGGGCGCAGCGAAAGTCAACGAATCTCTGATTGCAAAGCGATTTGAAGCGAAGCGGATTTTGCAAGTAACGGAGGCCCCGACCGCACAGCCTGAACACTCACCAGCGGCGCGGCGATTGGAAATTCTTCCGGCGCAAATCGAGGTAAGAACGCCGTCGGCACGTCGCCCCCGTGCACCATAACCCAAGCCATTGACAACAGTTTGCATCAAACAACAGCAGCAATATCAAGCTGAGGTGCCACAGCGACCAGAGTTCTGCTCGGTCCCCGGCCTTACGTCCCTCGTCCGAGTACGGTCACTGAAAGTCTTGGCAGTAATTACATCTCGACCGCACCGTTCCGATGACTCTTACTCCAAGGACCGTAGCTGAACTCAAAGCCATACAACGCTCAGCAGAAACCAAGTCCAAAAATACAGCCAAACGACCATATACGTTTGCCCACGATCTAAATCCTGACCAAGGAGAGTCGACTGCAGAGAGAGCAGCCCCATGAAGACCGTTCAGACTACTTCCTCGATCAGGAGAGATTTGCGCACCGCCGGACGACGTTTTGGACGTGGTCGCCGTGCAGGCCCGGCATCGAGTCCAGGTGAAGAACGTGGCCATCATCGCCTCCGGGGGAGACAATCACGGCCAGGCTGAAGTGGCTCCTGCACAACTTAAGTTTGTTCAGTGGCTCGTCGAGCAATGCAAAAGAAGTCTGGAATATAGAGCAGGTTTCGGCGCACGCGTCTAATACTTGCTTTCCGCTTCGAGCACCTCAGACTGCAGGTGATCCAAGCCCGAAATGCTCCACGCACGAGGCTTCAGGGGGCAGCTGCGGAATTGAGCAGCTGCGGAATTGAGCAGGTTGTCGGGACGTACCTGAAGAAGACGGGCAGAAAGAGGAAGCGGCACTGGAGCAGCAGCTCTACGGTCTGGATGCCACAGTTCTTGAGGGTCTTCTTCAGGTCCTGCTCCAGTCTTTCTTTCGAGGAGAGGGACGCGCTACGGAGGAGGCGGTGGAGCTTGTCGAAGAGGTGGGCGAAGACTACTCCAGACAGGTCGTGCTGCATGGTCCCCTGAAGATATCTGGAACAAAGACAGCTGAACGTTTTAATGGGCGGCTCAAGCTAGATGCAAATGGACCCGTCCTTACCATGGCAGACATCGAGTCGCACAGAAGCAGTAGCCTTTCTCTCTTGCGTGCAGAGACCCAAGAAGGACAGAAGATGCTGCAGGCGGAGCTAGACGAAGACAGAATGGAGGCAAGAGACGAATACTCTTTCAAGTTAATGCGTGCTCCACGCACTTCAAAGAGGCTACTCATTCAGAGAGCGACTTACAATGCGTAGAAGTCGATGATTTGGGTGCACAGCCAGCGGCCCGCTTGCAACGTTTCCATCTCGGAGGGGCCGATGGACACCTGGTGCGCTGCGCCGGGTGGTAACATAGCCGGCAGACCAGGATACCGCGGGTCTGTATAACGAACAACTGTGTCAGGAGACCCAACGAACAACTGTGTCAGGAGACCCTGGCATTCTAAAAAAGGCGGGGAAGGAAAGAGCCCTGAAGGAATGCACAAATGACGTGACACGACATAAGCATCTGTCTTTAGGCGTTACCCAGCGACTTTGAGAGCGCCGAAGTTGCTCACCCTCGACAGGAGCAGCGTCCAGGTCGGAGTCTTCCTCGTCCGACAAGTTCACGCTTTCGCTGGTGGGCTTTGGTCTGGCAAGACCGCGTGTTCGCGACGACCTCTGCAGGTAGAGTCAGGCGCCAAGTATCAGCCACACGCTTGGGTCCTGGAAAAGCAGAACATCTGCCATATCATTCTTGCATGCGGTCGATGATTGACACAATCAGGTGTAGCTGCAGCCCGAGCAGAGGACAGCTCCTTAGCACGTTTCCTCGAATCAAGGAGATGCTAAGCGGGAAAGCGGTTTGCTGGCACATACCCTTAGAATAACCCGGACTGGATTGGCAGGCTCGCGTCCAGCCGGAGCTTTGCTGACGTCACCAGTGTTCTTGGCAGGGGCAGCTGCAAAGGAGCGAGAGACATCTTCAGCGTGGGCGGTATAGTGAAGTATGAGAAGAAAGAGACTGCGCACCTGGCCGGAGATTTGGATGCGGCATAGTGACGGAACAGATTTACCTCTTTCGCGATGTCTTTGCCAACCCGGTCAGACTAGTCGTGAGAACGAGCTTCGATAAGTGAGGAACGGAAAACGTCCTTCTAAGGGAGAGTGAAATAGTACGGGCAAAAGCACTACCATTTGCCGGTGGCTACTCTCTGAGAGAATGCTCTACCTGCTGCTTTGTCGCCAGGGTTAGGAGCGCCTGCCGCAGCGGCACTCTCGTCCTGCGGCCGAGTCAGGGGCGGCGGCGTGGGCAAAACTCTATTGCGTTCTGCGACAGGCGGCGGCGCAGCCGCAGCGTGCTCTGTCGCCAGCGTGTTGGTGGAAAAACCTGGTGGAAATGTCTTGCCTTGTCAGCATATGAAGTTGGTTGCAGTAAGGCTCCAACAAAAGGTCGAACCAGAAACACAATATACTAGCTATGACACGCTGAGCACCTTTTGGGGTGCAAGAGCGTGTGAGCGACTGCATGCGTTGAAGGTTACTGAACGACGAGCGGGTAAGAAAGCCTCCATCGAAGGCGAAAGGATCGCAAACCAAAAGCTCAAACGAAGAGACTCCTCGTTGCTGAAGGGCGTTTGACTGCAAGAGGACTCTCGGGAAAAACGATCCACTTAGGGTGTTGGTACGCTTCAGTTGTTCAAATATCGCCCAACAAAGAGAACCCCTACTGAATGCGGAACAAGCACAAAGTAGGAGCAGAATGATGCATACATAGAAAGAGCTGAAAGAGCGACATCATGAACAGCTTTAGAGCAAGCTTGAACTTCAAAGTGCGAGCAACAGGAGCGTACGATCACGGGCAGGCGCAGATTGAGCCGTTATGGACAGAGCGGTATCCCGATTGCCATGTCGAGAAGGCAGTGAGCGCGAAGGTCGAGGTGGGAGCGGGGCACCGGAACGACTTGGCAAATTGACGGACCGCGAGCCTGATCAGAGGAGGGCACAAGTGTCAAGAAACGGCTAAATCTGAATAAGTTGTTTGGAAGGATCTGGGTTCGATTTTGGTGTCCAGAATCTACGGCGCCCGCACCAGCACAACACACAGATCTTGACTTCTGCACTCTAAACTTTGCTGCAAGCGCAGTGGCCTTGCCGCAAAGGCGGTCGATATGTCCATTTCTACAGCTGAGCCTTTCGCAAGGGGAACGACGCCGCAACTCGCCAAGATATGCTCAGCAGAAACCAACCTGAAGCAAGAGCGACGCCACCGGCGGTCGATCGGGTTCCACGCGACGAAGAGGAACTCTCTGCCGGCCTCGGCACGTTGCTCAGTGAAGGAGGGGCGCTGTCGATGGTCAGTCCCTGGCGCCTATACCGCGGCGCCGGCGGCGGCTTGTCCGCTGTGAGGGCGTGCAGATGCCCTGCCTCCAGTTCGCCCCAGGAACCGTCGAAGCCGCCAAATGGCAGCGACCTGACCGCTTGCACAGCCGATCCGGATTGGCCGCTCTCTTCTGACTGGCTGCCGCTCCGGGCAAGCGTCGCGCCAGCTCTTTCACTCATTGCCGACCCGCCCGCCCCGTCGCCCAACTCGTCACCCGCAGCTCCTTCGTCGGAGGCATCCGGGATCAAGTTGCCGTCCTTGTCCTGGCCCAGGATCTCGAGGGACTTCTCTTCGTAGAAATCCCGATAACCGCCCCGCCCGTCCGGCTTCAGGTAGTCAACGTACCTGTGCCCTTGAACCCCCAGTATTCTAGGAACAGTTTCCGCACGACGAGGGGCGCAAAGTTGAAACCCCAGGCTAGCCAGTTTGCCGCAAGCTTGACCGCACGGCTGTCGCCCACGAGCTCCGCTGTGCCTGCGTGCGGGCTGCGCTTCCCGCCCCGTGCCAGGAAGATGGTCTCCCCGCTGTAATGACAACTGTTTTTCTGGAACTCGAGCATCTCCAGGAGGTGGTCAAGGGTCACGTGGGGCCTGAGTTGCCGCCCCTTCGCCCGCGTCCGGTCCCCCTGCCGATTCCTCATTTGACGAGCGAACCAGGAGTTCTCGCCCATGCTATTCTCGAAATTGCCCTCGACGACTCTCCTGGAGGCAGTCATCTTGTCGTCCACGTCTAGTTGCGCGGCGGCGAGCGTGTTGAAGCCAAAGTACCGGGCGTACTGCTCCGGCACGAACTGCCCAATCTGTGAGGGGAAAATGGCAATGAACCGTGCGAACACCTCTCAGGAAGAGCTTGCCTGGCGGAGGATAAAATTCAGCAAGTCTGGGTGTTACCCCGGGTATTTCCGTCCCTTCCAGATAGTTCCTGCTTGATTTTGGATCAGCAATTTCGAGTACGGGAGAGTTGTGGGACTTGGTACACGACCAAAAGTCGACAGCCACGCAACAATCGCCTCCAATTCCGCCAGTCATCGACAAAAACGGCATTGAAGTCAAGAGAAGACCACCTATTCGGATGCGGCTGCCGAAGCATATCGGGCCCGCTCAACGCTCACCTCAAACAATGTAGGCCGCATAGAGCTCAAAGTCGGCTTCCGCCTTTGCTAGCTGCGCAAGAGAAGGACGAATCAGTCAAGGAACGTGATTTCTGCAGAAAAAGGGAGGTAAAGAAGCGGTCAGAATGAGGATCCAACGGATGCCCAAAAGAAACGGAGACCCTCCACCAGAATATTCAGGAGCGAAAACTTTCCGTGTCTTCGTCTAAGCGGCTGTAAAATGATACGTCCATGCCCTCCCCCGCCAGTTTTCTATCTCTGTAAGAACGTGCTTTGATGGATCACCGAACCTGCTCATAAGGAAGCTTGCACAAAGGAGTAGGTTGTGTTTACAGAAAGTGAATCATCCAGGATGGATTCGACTCACGTTATCGAACAGAATACAGAGTTGGATGTTGCCCATCTGCTGAACCATCGCGTACGTCAGATAAAACCCGTTCGGATCAGCTTCGTACTCAGCCAGAATCTCTCGGTACTTTGGAAGGTAGATTCGATATCCTGGCGACTCTTTGCCGTCCAGAATCTTATCTATCGAGGCCGCTGACAGGCCATAATGTTGACAGAACTGGTTCGTGGCGGAGATGGCGAATTTGAGAGGTCTATCTGCAAGATCGGGAATCACTAACCGCTATCAGCACAACATTAAGCGCTCATCTGTGCCGTTAATTTGTTCAATGCGACGGGTGAAAAGACAAACACAACCATGAGTCACATGGGAAACCTTTTCGATATTGCATTTAGTGTTCCAAGGCAGCAGCAAGAGACACGCACCTTGTCGCCGTAGAGGGTGGCAGTTCTTGTACATTCGGACGATGTTCGCAAGCTGCAGGGGGGTTGGATGCGCCCACCCAGGCGGGAGCTTGCTGCCATCTCGCCCCGCTGCTTTGTCCAGCATGATCTTGCACTTGATCGTGTTCTGGAAACAGGAATCTGGAGAAGATATACAGTCGTACCGGCGGAAGCACTATTTAAGACTACCGGCTCAGAATCAAAATAGCAAAGGTACCTCTCACCGCTCTGGTCAGCTTCGTGTCCATTGACTTCTGTAGACGCGTCTAGTTCAGGATCCGTCTGCCAAACTGAATTCACTTGTGTTGCACCCTGTTCCAAACATGTTTCCTCGTCGAGAGTGCATCCAGGTTGTACGAACCACGGAATCCACAAACGGCACCAACCACAATCGCCGCCTTCGTTTCGGCAGAGTCGAAAGCAGCACATGGACTAAAACCGGACGATTAGCTGTACAACCAGACGCACTGATCCTCTCACCTCAGCCCAGACTTCGAGAGGTAAGCTTTCGTCAACTTCTGTCATGACGAACATCTTCAAGTAGGCGGGGGTGATATTTGCAGGAAGTTGGTTCCTGTACTTGGTCACAAACGCATCGAAGTGCGTATATCTGACCTGCAAAAGTACCAAGGTCATGCTAGTCACGGTGTCCTCGACATCTTGCCTTGAGGAAGCTTCGCCGCGACTTGCTGGCGCCCATTGACACCAACCGATCGAGGGTCGAAGCTTGATACGAGCCTACGAGCAGTCCGCATCTTGAGGTTAGGGCTTCGGCTGAAGTGGACACGTTAACAAAGCAGTGGCGTGAGTGCTGAGATGGCTGCGCAGACTCTTTCAAGAGGCTCGAGGTGGTACTCTGAATCGCAAGAAGCGACTTACCTCCTGAGTAGGGTACCGCCTCTCTTCGGGTGGAATGAACTCCGTGAGCTCTTCTAGCCGGCTCCGAATGAAAACTTTGTGGCTGTCCAAAAGTCGAACACGCCAGTCCCCAGGCTTGCGGTTCGGCTCCTGCGCTCGAAAATGTAGTTAATGTTAGTGGCGCTTTACCAAAATAGCTTCCATGGATCATCGTAACAAGAGTGAACTGGAAAGCTTTGAGAACCCTGTGTCGTCCCTATCTAGCCTGCAAGTCGGTTGTCTTACAGGCAGCGACATGGCAGAGAAGTTCAGCTCGTCGGATGGCCCATAAAGTACAACAACTCAATGGCTAATATATTCAGCTTTCGTTTTTAGACGATGCAAATGATGAGAATACTATTTAGACAACGGTAGGGACCTCCGAGGCGTTCGCTGAACAACGAATGGCTGGTATATTGCATGTAACACCAACACACCGCTCACTTACGTGAACTTCTTGTCAAAGAAGATTCCCTTTTGTTTCAGATTGCAACGGCAAAGCGTTTCTTCAACTATCACAGGGGAAAGCTCACAGCATGCCTGTCAGCATTACAGGACCCGCCATTGCTCGCTTCAAAGCCTGTTGAGACAGCTCAACTCACCATTTGGAGGGTCTCCATGTGATGGAGGAGCTGGTCCATGAACACGATAAGTCGCTTGCCAACCGAGTCAGCCCTCAGAAAGTGCCAACCTTCCTCCCCCGCTGCCTCCGCTCTCCGCTCCATTTTCACGACCCAAGTGTTGCCCCCGAACTGCGAGCGGAGAAGACCCTCGAGGAGGTCCCGAGCATCCTCCGAGTACTTTTTCTGCAGGGTTTTGAAGGGCTCGCCAGTCCGGGGGTCCGTCCTCAGCTTCCCATCCGCGTCGTACAGGTTCAAACCGGCTGACCCCAGAATTTCCAACATCAGGCTTTGGACATCCGCTATAGCCCAGATTGCCTGCGGCCGGTTGCCCTCACTGAGGGGCCCCCGGGTTGTCGGTCCCTTCCTTTGCCATCGGTACTTGACCCG